TAACGGCATAATAAGAATATCAATTCAACATGATTTTGTAATAAAAATATTCTGAATAAAATTTCATATCTAACTCATTTTAGATTTGAATCTAAAATTAAGACTCGAACCTATTAATTTATGTTAGTAGGATGAACAGGTCAGTAGTGACTTAGTGGTACAAAGCATTTACTTTTCAAAAGGAGTTCAGAGGTTCAAGCATTAATGGAGGCATGTGTGTGTGAGTACCAGTTAAGAAAAAAAATAAAATAAAATTTATGCTAGTAGGAAAATATTCTATTACATAAATGATTTTATTTTGTATGCAATGATTTCTTATATATATGTTGGTATAACGATGTCTCAAATTTTATTAAAATTACGTATTTATTTTTAGAGTTGTATTGTATAGTGTAATGTTTAGATAACTTTGCTAGTGAGTTAGGTTTGGGGTCTATAAAATAGATACGCGAGTTATTGTTGAAAGTAAGTGGAGAGACGTATAGCCCGTAATGATAATCTCGCGAGGGTGTGAGTACAATGGGTAAGAAGGGTTTACGAGTGGAGAGGGCGTGAGTACAATCGGTAGGGAAGGTTTATGAGTGGAGAGACGTGTAGCCCGTAAGGACAATCTCGGGAGGGTGTGAGTACAATGGGTAGAGAGGGTTTACGTGTTTGTAATATCTCAAGAGTTTGGGTAAACTATGTAAATGCCCAACAAGTGGTATTAGAGTCGATGGTTTGGATATGATTGATATTTAGAAGATAAAAAAAAACATAAAAAGTCTCAACAAGTGTTGCAATGGGTTTAGTTGCAGGTGGAGTCAATGAGTCAGCTTGCTCAATCACGATGGTCGTCAAAGGGGTTTTGCTCTCAGCCAAGGTTTGCTTCCTGCCTAAAAAAAGAGTCGGTTCATTCTCTTAGACTGGAAAAGAGAATATGTGGTGGTTTTGCTCTCAACCAAAGTTCGCTCCCAGCCTAAAAAAAGAGTGGATTTGCGCTCTCAACTCGGAAAAAACAAAACGTAATCGTGATGAGGTACATGGCAAAGGTGGAGCCCTGAAAGACAACCAGGGTGAGTTGTTGCCATGGCAAGGGTTGATTGCCGTGAATGAATTTAAGCCAAAATAGAGATTGTTATGATAATGATGTTTCAAATTCTATTATAATTACGTGTCTATTTTTAGATTTGGAGTCTATAAAATAAATACGTGGGTTATTGTTAAGAGTATGAGTAGAGAGGTGCATAGCCCGTGAAGACAATCTCGCGAAGGAGTGATACAATGGATAAATCTTCTGAGTTTGGTAAAACCATATAAAAATTTGTGTTGCAATTTGGAATTACTTTTCTTCCTCTGGTTTAATTTAGCTTCCAACAATTTATGGCTTGATAATATTGGGTTTTAGTTATATTATACTCGTTGGTATACTGAAATTGTAGTGAGACACCAACCATGGGAGTCGATCAATTTTCATTAAAGGGTTGTACGTAGCATCAGAGACTGGTGGTGGTCCTGGTACGATTCAGTTGATTGAAGGATAGGTAAGGTAATGTAGGGGGACAAAGGTTTCTAATTCTGCACCAAACCACCAAAAATGCCATTATTACATGTTTGAACGATGTAGACACACCGCCTGCCTTGCCCTTTCCTCCCTTAGAAGAAGCTCATTCTCCCATTCCAAACCAACTACTACATATATATTGTACAAACTGTATTTATGTACTCCGTATTTAATATTTATATATAATGACACACACAAAATTTCCCACGCATCACGCGCATTTCCATGTGTAGGAAATGTTATTTTCACAGTCCTTTTCTTAATAATATATTAGTTAAAAAGTTTTTTTTTTTTTTTTTTCTTTTCCCCGGAAAGTAAAATTAATAAATAAAAAGAAGAAGTGATTTTAACTCAAAAGGAATATAAAAAGTGATTCAATAATAATAATAATAAATTTGTCCTAGTGTGAGCTCATATTTATAGTAGAGTGATAGTACTATTATAAAGCTTAAATTTAGGATGAAATGGAGGTCATGATTGATGCACTCTATTTTAATTTAGTGTTCCCAAAATAAATATTCTTTTTGAAAAGTGAAAAGTTTTTATAGACTGGCATTTTTAAAATTATCCTTAATTTTGAAAGGAGGCATATTGGCACTACATTTTCCTCCAATTCCGTTATATTTACCTTTTTTCTTTTAAAGGAAATCACACGATTAATGCACTGTCTCTTAATTTATAAAGTCATAACTATCATTTATACTAATTTAACCTTTTTAACCTTCTTTACTATATTTTTCCCTTTATTAATTATTTTTTCCTGAGGTCCTCTCAAAGAAAACAATTTATTTCATACTAATAATTTATTTTTGACAGTCAGAAGAGATTATTTATTCCATAGTGTGTGTGTGTATATATATATATATATATATATTGGGTACAATCAAAAGATATATTTATTCAACAAAGTTAACTTCTTTTTAGTGCTGTCAAAAGAGATAACTTTTATTTTGATAATTTTTTATGGGTCATATTAAAAGAAATAATGTATTCAATAAAAATATATATATATATTTTTGTTTAGTCTTATCAAAAGAAATAATTTATTCAATAGAGCTAATTTTTTTTTAATCCTCTTCTTTTCGTACTTTTTTTAAACAAAATAGATAATTTTTTCAATAAATATATATTTTTTGTATTTCTTTTTTTTCATGTCAAAAGAGATAATTTTTAATAGTTACTCTTTATTTTTTTTGATAGGTAAAAAGAGACAATTTATTCAATATAATTTATTTTTTTGTCTCGAAAAAAAATATTTATTCAATTATTTTTTCTGTCTTGTCAAAAGAAACCTAAAACATTAAAGATTAGAGATAAGAAGAGAAAATCTGAAAGGACAATTATGTCATTTAAAAGGTAATAATTATTTACTTATAAAGTTAGAGTTAGAATTATCATTTCATTTAAACGTTGAAAAATGGAGTGCAGATATTGCCTCCCATTTTGAAAACATAACAACATAAAAAAATTATGTTAAGACGGTTAGTTTTAAGAATTTTAGAGGTGCATCCATTATATGTACAAAATTGGTATTTTTTGAAGTAGGGACGAATTCAGAAAATTATGTGAATGGGGGCAACTTTAACAATAATGAAAAAGGAAAAAACATATTCAAATCATAGGATGGGAGGCAATCAAGGGCGGAGCTAGAAATTAAATCTAGTGGGGCACAATGTAAAAAAAAAATAATAAAAATAAAAAAACATGACGAAGAGAAATTACTCAAAATAATACGTCAATTAATGAGTCATTTAAGAAAGATAAATCATTAACAAAAATTTTAAAAAGGAAAGAAAAATGAGAGAATTTTGAAAGGGAAAAACATTGGACATTGATTCAAAAAGAAAATTTTGACTTTTTAAAAAAAAAAAAATTAAGCGAATTTAAAGAGTAACAAAGAGAATAAATACAAAATTTAAAAGATAATTTTATAAAATAAAAATTTTAGGGGGGCACTATATGAATTTTTTCACGTATACATATAAAAATACATAAATTTCGTACATATATTATAGTAAGCGAGGTCACGCCTCGGGCATACACTGACTCCACCCCTGGAGGCAATAGTAGGGTTTTTCTATAATTTCAACAAAGGCAATTTTAATATTTTCTAGATATATAATTAAAAAATAAAATAAATTCAAGGTACATGATACCAAAAAAAACATCAATACGTCCGTGCTTGCTTTGAAGGTACATTTACTTTGGGACAAAAAGTGTAGTTTGGTATTTTTTTTTCAACGAATAATCACATGATAGAAAAGATTGTTCAACCCGACCCAAGTTAATTTGTTGTCATTTGTGATATATTGAGTTTAGCATTTGAATAGAAAATTTCCGACAAATAAATTTTCTCCTTTTCGTTGGCTCTATATTGATTTTGCAGAATCATTGATTTGAGGGGACCAAAACAAAGGATTTTCTTCTGTATTTTTCATTTGATACGAGCGTAGCTAGAAAATGTAGAATAATCTAGAATGATAGAGAATAAGAATAAAGGGTATAACATGAAAATTAAAAGCACTAGTTTGTTTATTTAGGGGGAAAAAGTACTAGTTTGTTTTCCCTTGCATATTATTTTTCTCTCATTTTAGCAAATAAAAAATTATGCATTATTATAGTAGAATTAGTGAAAAAAGATAAGAAAAAGAAAAAGAAAATTATTTTCTTCCAAGTGAGCTTAAACACTGCCTGCCTTTTAGGTTAATTAAATATAACTCTTTTTATATTTTATCTTTTCATGGAGTATAACTTTTTAGATTTAGAAAAAATGCCCCCACTTCAAAATTTTCAAAACAAAATAAATAAATACAACTTTATTTGATTTCCTTCCTGTTAATTACCGATCTCTCTCTTTTGACGTATCATTCTATTATTATCTCATGAATAAAAAGACTATACGCACAGCAACACTCCAAAGTCCTACTCTAACCCTTCAAATGAAATTGAATTGATTAAAATCTAGAATTATAAATCATAATTCTTTTTAAAGATGCTTTTTTTTTTTTTTTTTTAGAACATGGGCTCCAAAAACATATACACCATTCAAGTTAGGAGTACGATTCAAAAGCAAGACTTCACAAACTTATTTACTGAATCTACTATATTCCCGAGAATTTTTTGATCATACATTTTAATATATTGATAACACAACACTCATATAAAACACACTTTTATTTAATAGTTGCATTCATAATTTAATTGCAGGGAATGGTGCTGCACCAAAATGAAATGACACAGAAGAGAAGATAAGAAAATTGTGAAGTCCCAATCATGTGTTTGGATGGTTTTATGATTTTATCACTTTGGACATTCTTTTTGACGGAGTCAAAAGAAAATTCCAAAAATAAAATAAAATGAAAAAACAGTTAACTGAGAGGCACGCGCCTGACCTGCACGTGCAGAAAGTGGACTACAAGTGGACAACTTTTGACGCTCCCTTAAGTTGCCTTCCTACTATCTATTTGTTAGTTAGCTCCACAAATCTCTCTCTTCTTCTCAGCTACAAAACCATCTGAAATAAAAGAAAGAGGAAAGAGGAAAGAGGAAAGGAATGACTCGTCTTTCACCATTATCAGAAGAACCTGTAAACGAAGAAGAGAGCACAAACTGCTCAAAGAAAGCACATACATGGAGAAACTGGCTGATGAACCACTTCTCTCTCCTCTTCAACAAGAAATCTGATCTAAAGATCCTCTTAAGCGTACTGGGTTGCCCTCTATTTCCTGTTTCCGTCCACCCCAAACAACCCATCAACGAGGTAAATCTTCCTTCTACATTATTTTTTTTCACACCACCAACTTTGGTGCTGTTTAATTTCTTCTCTAGCTCTATATATGTGTATATGTGTGTGTAATAGCATGCTCTTAATTAACTTGTTAAACATAAGAAATGTCGAATATTATAATTGTGTTCTCTCCCTGTTTTTTGCTAGATTACATTTTTAGGGGTAAAGTAGCATAGGTTTCTCATGGAAGTATCATTAACTAGCTGGAAAGAGAACACTAAGTGTACACACATACACACTTGTGTATAATTTTCTTGCTCTTTATATATATATATATATATATATATATATCTTTTTCACCTGCAGTTGACCCTTTTCAGAAAGAGTTCCCAACTAACCATTGAGTTCTCTACTTTTTCCCCCACTTTGTTCCTCTCAAAAAAAGATATTTGGGAAAAGAGCTAGGAGCATAGGACCCAATGCTCTATAATTTGTGAGTTCCATTTTAATTAACTTTTAGTTTAGTATTTTTTTAATTTTTTTTTTTTTTTTTTTATACACATTATTTGACAAAACACATTTGATTAGTTCTCACTTTTTTATATTCGATATGCATTGACTAATTAAAATCATTCCAGTAAGAAATTCTGCCCACCTATGACTTCAGAATTATTTTTCTTTTTTATATGACAATAATTTGGTTTTAGATAAACATTTAAAGAAATCATCACATAAATTGATGTTGGCATGCTGCAGTGGGGTGCTTTGAAATGACCAAAAAAGTTATGGCATCTGGAAATTTAATTAAAATTAAAGATGTGGGGGCAGAACTATGCACTGATACAACCAACTGTTATCATGTTAAGAGTTAAGAATTCTAGTGGGTAATAATGATATAATATTACTTCTTCCCATATGGAGTATAATGGTTTCCAAGAAAAGCATCATATATTTTACTCTTTTGAATCCAGATACTAGTATATATATATATTTTTTGATAAGTATATACTAGTATTTTTTTAAGTGGAAAAATTTAAACTAATTCTTAATAAACAATATTGTAATCCATAAAAGTTTATATATATATATATATATATTGAAAGATGGAATCATATGTATTTATATATATTGGAATTTGGGAAACGATATTTGTACTTCATAAAAGTTTTATTACACCTTTTTTAAAATAAAAAAAATGGATAATCGACACAATTATTCCTCAGAAAAAATATATGTGTGAAAATTAAATAATAATAATAAATAAAATTTATACTTCACTTTTATATGCTAACTGTGTCATTTTAAATTGAAAAAAAAGAAGAAAAAAAGAATACACACACATATATATTAATATTATATATATATATATATAATATTAAATAAGTATACCTTGTTCTCACCTTTACTTTTTTGTCCATACGCTAAAATGATAAAATTAATTAATATATAAAGTATTTGATATTGGGTCAATTATGTGAATGTTTTATACCATTCATTTCTTTCGCTATTGTGTTTAATGCACCTTTAAAGCCTTAGAGACAAAATGGTTATGAGACATTAAATAAAAGCTTGAATTATAGGTATCTTCTTCGGCAGAATACATAATACAACATTTCACGGCGGCGACAGGTTGCCGGAAGCTAGAGGGGGCGGTGAAGAACATGTATGCAACTGGAAGAGTGACTATGGCAATGACGGGCGAGCTCGGCCCCAACGGCCCGCCTGCGGGAGCCGCCGGGACTCCACAAAAGGGTTGCTTTGTAATGTGGCAGATGGTACCTAACAAGTGGCTAATTGAGCTTGTTGTAGCTGGCCAAAAAGTTGTAGCCGGTAGCGATGGAAAGGTGGCTTGGCGCCACACACCATGGCTCGGTGCCCACGCCGCCAAAGGCGGCGTCCGTCCTCTCCGGCGTGCTCTCCAGGCAAGTAATTGCCACCATTTCATCACTAATGTTTCTTGTTCAGGATGGATCCAGTACTTTCTATTTGAAACCGAATTAGTAATATTAAAATAATTTAAAAAAAAAAAAAAAAAAATCTTAACGATGATAACTTAACCTCTTTTTGTAATGTTAAAAATTTGTCATTATATAATATTTGGCGGTAGTGGTAGTATATTCAATATGATTTAGAATCAATTATAATACATAAGTTCCAAAACATGTAAAAATTTGTGATGGGTGAGATTTAGAGGTGGAATATTTTGCCGGAATATTCGTTTTCTAATGGGGCAGACAGGGTATTATCAAGTAGGGGGAGTTTGTTCTCTTACTTGTTACTTTTTGCATGTTCTTCCTTTCTTTTTTTTGGTGCTACTTCCCCATTATGATTCGTGATGGTAACTAGTAGTGGTCCTCACGTGGAGTATGTTGGCCACTTTTTTTTAATCACTTTTCACCTATGTCACAATTCACTAGGAAATTAAGAATGGGATTTTCACCACTTCAATAGGAAGAATTATTTCAATGCAATACATCTTTTGGTATATGAAATTCCTAAGACTGAAAAGAAAAATTAGAGAATTTCAATATCTTATACCAAACTAAAAAAATGATATAAGTGATTTTATGTAGGGACTAGATCCTGTGGCTGTATCAGCTGTGTTCTCCCTAGCGCAGTACATGGGGGAGAAACGAATCTCAGGCGTCGATTGCTTCGTTTTGAAATTGTCAGCTGATCATGGGGACCTCGCTGATCGAAGCGATAACACAGCAGAAATGATCAAGCATGTGATGTTTGGTTATTTCAGCCAAAGAAGTGGATTGTTAGTGTACTTAGAGGACTCATACCTCACCAGGATACAATCACCTGGAACATATCCTACATATTGGGAGACCACGATGGGCACCAAGATCGAGGACTATCGGACGGTGGAGGGTGTGGTCATTGCTCACTCCGGTCAATCCAATGTGATCATCACAAGGTTTGGAGAAAATTTTAAGGTGGGACCTGCAATCACACGGATGGAAGAGTCCTGGACCATCGATGATCTTGCCTTCAATGTCCCTGGCCTCTCCATGGATTGCTTCATTCCTCCTCAAGAAGTACAAAGAGATTATCCTGATGAGGCTCTTGATTGGAGATCACCATTACATACATGATCATTATCATCATCTCTTTCTGTTTTGCATTTAATAGTTTCCCTAATATTATTTTTATACATTTTCATGCCCAATCATGACTATTCAAAATATTCTTCTTCTTTATATCACTGACATTGACAAATCATTTATTTTATATTTGTATGCGTGTATATATAGTATTTTCCACACATTGCTTTGATTAATAGTCCATTTTTAGGACTATTGACATATTTGATATTTTTTTTTTTTTTTGGCTTGTCTTGTATTGTAGCATATGTGTAACTATGTAAGTGAACAATATATGCGAGGTATGTCTTAGATTGTATAATTAATTGATTAATTCTAAATGATTGTGAGGTAAGACTCAAGCCCCAACTTGTTGAATGTCTAACGGAGCTGATACTAAAAATATGCTACTTGAATGAGATGGACAAGTTTGAGAGATAAAATAAAAACTCAGTTTGAGAATTGAAACTTTTATTTAGTTCTAATTCCGACTAAACCTCCAATCTAACAAACTTAATCCAAATTGATCATAATTTTTACGTTTCATCTCCATCTCATACATATTGATAGGGGTGCACACGGTTCGGTTCCTTACGGTTCCGACTGAAATCGGATTCAGAACCGTTCACAATGGTTTCTTAAAATTAGAACCGAAACCGTATAAGTATGGAACCGAACCGGAACCGGATTTCGGTTCGGTTCGGTTCCACGAGAACCGACTGTTTGCTTCACAGGCTTGACCAAGGAAGCCATAAAAGTCGTGTTGCTGACTGAGATCGTGTGTGGGTGTAGATTGGAGAAGCCGTGTGACTGTGTCGCACTTTTCTATCGCTGCCTCTCCCTCACCTGTATGAGTGACTATTTAGTAACTTTAGACTTTAGTTAGTATAGGATCGAGCTGTAAGTAATTGATATTATATATATATATGCGGTTCCGATTCTTACTGGTTCCAATGGGTCTGGAACAAGAACCTGAACCAGAACCATACACCCACAGTTCTGAAATTAGAAATCGGAATCGGAACCGTGAAAATTGGAACCGAAGCCCACGGTTCGATTCGATTCGGTTCCGCGGTTTTTTTGTACACCCCTGCGTATTGAAACAAGGTTAAGTCAGATCCACCCAAGCAATTCATTACTTCTTCTTCATTTTATAGGTATCAGATCTGCACCTTTACATTTACATCTCTATAAACACGATGTGGCCCAACACTGCAATAATTAGGAAACAAAAACGTTTGATGACTCTTCAAAGGAAGATGGTACCAACTTCATCAAATTAAACTCAAAAACATTAGTAAAAGATACAACTGAAACGCGCAGCCGGAATAAACAATACAATGATAATCATGTTTGAAGGAACAAAAAAAAAAGCAAGCTTACAGATTTTACAACTAAAAATAAAATATATAAGGATTCCTTTAAAGCCGCAGATATATATAGCTATAAGTTTTGATGCACAACCTCACTATGCTGGGTGCGCTGGGTAGCCCTATTGGTAAAAGGGCTCTCCTAAGTTGTGTGGGAGCCCAACTCACTCCATCCTCAGTCCTCCCTCCTTGCCGGGATAAAAAAACAAAAAAGAATAAAACCTCACTTGGAGGTCATCAAATTTGTCTTAAACTAACTGGGGAGGCGCTTTGTTTCTGTCATCCGTCAAACGAAGGAGAGACATCGTTTTCATTTCTGTCAACTGAATGACAGGTGCCTCTTTTGGTTTCAGTCAACTGACGGAGAATCGCTTCGTTTTGGTAGAGGGTGTAAGGAGAAGCACTTCGTTCGTGGATGGAAGGAGAGGCATTCGTTTCTGCAAGAGAGGCGCATTTGTTTCTGTCAACTGAAGGAGAGACGCTTCGTTTTGGTTTTCATTTCTGTCAACTGATTTCGTTCGTGGAAAGAGAGACATTCGTTTCTGTCCATTGAAGGAGAGATGCTTCCTTTTGGTTTCCGTAAGCGCATCGTTCAAGGCAGGAGAACCATTTTGTCCTGATATAGTGCTTTCAATCTCCTCACAGGCAAAGTGTTTGCACTCTCCTCATTGGAGAAGATATGCAATTTCGGTTTTTTTTTCGCGAAGGACCTACATGATTTCAAAATTAAGTGTTTGTTAGCATTTCCAAAAGTAATCATATGATAATGTAGTTCATACTGCTATTAGAAATTATGTTAAGATTAGTTAATTGTTCGTTGAATTTACCAGGTTTTTTTTATCAAGAGTGCGCAACCTTGACCAGAGATATTTGATCAATTTATATGCATACTAATTGTTCTAGAAGATGTACTTGAAGCCCTTTATACTCCACCGCATGGTATGATATTGTCAACATTGGACCCGAGCCCGCATGATATGATATTTTGTCAATAAGCACTCATACAGGTGACATTTAAAAACTCATTCATGGAAAAGATCGGGTAGAATACAGTTTAAAAAAAATCTCATTTTGACAATTTTTTAAAATTTCATACAATTTTAAGAAATGCTTTTTTAATAATAAATTAAAAGAAAGAAGTTAAAAAATCCAAAGAAGCTACTAATTCAAAATGTTTGAAGTGTGCATTGGGAATGACCGAAAGTGATACATGCAATGTTAGAAATCGACTCATTAGAAGGAATTCAAAGATATTGTATACTTGAATTCAAGTGATAAATATGAACCGGTTAACCGTCAATGCGAAATTACTCCTATGAAAAATGTGTTCTAATTTTAACGTGATTGTTCACTGCGAAGTTACTCCTACAGAAGATGTGTATAATTTTCTCGTGAAGACGTCAATGCGAAGTAACTGTTTTAAAGTGACAAAACTAAGCGAAGTGAATAACCAAAATAGTATCCACCAAAATGTTCACCACACACCGCTAACATTGTTTCGTAGATTGGTTTAGCACAGCCCAACTCCTATAGTGCATCCACACAAACATGATGTATCAAAATTGACAAACAAATCGAACAAGTAAAATACACACTACCCGTAACATACCTCTTTTCCGACACTACTCAATCCAAAGAACCGGATAGGTTGAAGAAACAATCCTGCATCAATACAATTGAGGGAGAAGTAATAAGAAACATTTATCATTCCGAAGGTTGTAACAAGTAATTTAAAAAATATTAATATGATTTGGATTCCAGATGTGTACCATTGGAAGAAAATAAGATGAAAAAGAAACCAACCTAAGAAATAATTACCTGAAGACTGAGGCGACATCTCCAGAGTCCAGACCCTTTTAGGGATCAAAGACCAAACTCTAAGTTCAAATGGTCCTAGAACAACCTACGAAAATGTTTCACCATTTTGTGTTATTTCAACTTGATTACTGGTGCACATATATGCATATATTCAAAATATTATTATCCAAACCCGCCACCCTTAGTAGTTATAAGGTACTATATATATGATCTTAAACATACCTTTGTTAAGTGTGAAAAGAGAGAGTGCCTAAGAGAGAGCACGCGCCGCAGAGAGAGAGGAAGCCTAATTGAAGACTTATAGGGTTTCATTAGGGCTTCTTTGCTTTGCTAGGCGAGTTTATATAGAAGAGTGGGTTGAAATGGGTGGAACATTGTTACTCGTTTTCAACATACCATAACAAAATAGCTGATCCAAATTCACTAAATATTGGGCGGGTTAACGGGTTTGAACTTTTTTTTTTTTACCACCGTTTCTTTGGTGTTCTCTCCATGCATCTCTTTTCTCCAATTGGGTCGGTCTATTTTGCAAAAAAAGTAGTTGTTGTCTTTTAACTAAAATGAATTTGTATTTTTCTTAATTGATCAAAAGTGATTTGAGGATTTTTTTTATGAAACTTTTCTTATTCCACTTCTAACTACCACAAATTATTTGAATTCAATTTTTTTATTTTTTGTATTTGTATTAGATTTTTTTATTTTTATTTTTTGTACAATGTTGAGTAAAATGCCTCAACTTTGTATTTTAGTTTGATGAGCTAAATGCATTTATTTTATCAATTGAATTTCTTTTTTTCTTAAGAATTTCAATGCAATACATTTTTTAAAGTACAAAGAGATTATCACGAGGAAACCCTTGATTGGAGATCACCCATCATTGACCCAACATTTATTTTTATAGGAAAACTACACTTGAGTAGATTTAAGAGTCTTAAATAACAAATCAGTCTATTTTTAAAGTTAATTTTTCAATTTAGTTGAGTTAGGTAAAATAATTACATATGTATTAAAAACTATTATTTAGGTCTAAAATATCCTCTAAACTCTCATTTCAAAATACCAAAACATCATTTCTAAATCAAATCATTCATTCATTCATTCATAAAATTTAAAAAAACAAGATTTTTGAGTTGACTTTCAACTTGACATTTTTGCTTATGGTATATATTACCAAAATAAATAAAATAAAAACAACATATATATATGGGTTCAAACCTGATTTTTTTAGGCACACACGGAGAGGAAGATTATGAAAAAACTAAATGGTTGCTTCAATAAATGGTACACCAACAATCATTTTTTATTTATTTAAAAAACAAGTGTATTTAATTGAGCCAAAACATTGATGATCATCTCAAGGCATTCACAACAGCAAAGATGATTTATATATTCTTGAGTTTAATTATATTTTCTTTTTTTGGGGACTAACCTTTGATTGTTTTGTGTGTGTGTGTGTGTGAAAGTTGCAGCACAAAAAAAGATTTTCAAGTAAAGAAATTATTTTAAGAAAATACTTGATTTAAGAGAAATAATTTTTAGTATTTTGGAGTAAGTGTTTAGAGGGCATTTTGGACCTTAACAATAGTTATTGATGTATATGTAATTATTTTATTTTATTCAACCAGAGTGAAAAATTAACTTTTAAAATAGACCATTTTGTTATTTAAGACTCCTAACTCTATGAAGTGTATTTTTTCATATTATATATATATATATATAGTATTTTTAATTAATTGCTTTGATTAATAGTCCAATTTTAGGAAATTTAACATATTTGACTCTTTTTTTTTTTTCTCATATACGTAAGTGAACAGTATAGGTGAGATGTCTTAGCTCCGAAAGTAAAAATAAAATAAAATAAAAGTCTTGGCTTGTATAATAAATTGATTAATTCTAAATTTGTTTCCCTCAACCACCGATTGATTCTTGGGTAGGACTGAAGTCCCTTGTTGAATGTCAAGTCAACTGATACTAAAAATGACTGTCGAGTCTCAACTTGTTGAATATTAAATGAAATGATACTAAAAGGTGCGCCGTGTCCTCCAAGTGGTAAAAAGACCAGACCTAAAGTGTCCACCACCATATTGATGATGGGTTGAATTACTCCCTCCCCTATAACTAACTTGTAACTATTGCCGGCTAAAAAAAAAATTTAATATGAGCTGATGCTAAAAATATGCAACTTGAATGAGTTAGGCACAAGTTTGAATGTGTTTTTAGATATCAGATATGCACCTTTACATATCCAAACACTAAGTGGCCCAACTCTGCTATAATTAGGAAACAAAAACGTTTACTAAAAACTAAGATGAATCTTCAAAGGAAGATGAAACCAACTTCAACCAACAAAAAACATTAGATCAAGATACAACTGAAACACGCGCAGCCGGAATAAACAATACAACGATAATCATGTCTGAAACCCCAAAAAAAAAAATGGCTTCCTTTAAAACCACATTCATCTTTGGAGTTCCGAGGACATTTTTTGATGCACAACCCGACTTAGCGGGGTGAGCCGGTAGCCCAGTTGGTAGAGGCACTCCTCTAAGAGCCCGACTCACCCCATCCTCATCCAACAAAGGGAAAAAGAAAACCTCACTTCGAGGTCATCAAATTTTCTAAACAAACTGAGAGGCGCTTAATTTCAGTCATCCGGCAACTGAAGGAGAGGCACTTTGTTCGTTGAAGGCAAGGCACTTCGTTTTCGTTTATGTCAACTGGAGGAGGGACGCTTCCTTTTGATTTTTTGTACAGGAGAGGGCTTCGTTTTTGTTGAAGGAGAGGCACCTCGTTTTCATTGAAGGAGAGGCGCTTCGTTTTCATTGAAGGAGAGGCATTTCGCTTCCTTTCTGTCAACTGAGAAAGAGGCGCTTTGTTTCCGTCAACTGAATGAGAGGCGTTTCGTCTGTTTCATTGTAAGTGTTTAACGTCTTTAAGGAGGGGCGTTTCGTCTGTCTCATTATAAGTGTTTAACGTCTTTAAATCCCTGAAAAATACAATAAATAAAAAGCATATATAAAATGGAATAGAAATATGGGTAAACCGAAATTAGAAGTAAAAATTTTAAAATGTGGGAAAAAAAAAAAAAAAAAATGATTTCTAAGGTGGAGGAAGATATAAATCATTTGGTACAAATCAAATTTCTAACTTCATCCTTTGCTCTTCGCATTTTTATGCGAACACTTATCTTTGATTATGGGCTTTGCTATTTGTAAGGGCGTAGAAATGGAGCCTCTCAACTTGCTTTTTAATACACAAATTAATTATGACCTAGTGAATCCAATTCCACACATGGAGAAATGGATGTGTGAGTTTTATTTTTATTATTTTTAGAGGGGGAATCATAAAAATATATATATATAACAAAAACCCTCGTCATACTGTCCACTCAACACCTCTGTACTACATTTTAAGTGTACAAGTCTGTGAGAGAAGACCTACAACATTGCTAGCCCGTTAGAAAATGATTGTTGGTGAGTTATGTATGTGGCATATGTCATATATGAGACCTAAGAACCCTAAGGCACCCCTTTTCCTCTTCCAAAAATATGCCTCACCATATCCAAACATATTTTAAATATATATATATATAGACGGGGACACAGACAAGAATTTATTTCAAGGGGCGCAATGTGCACGAAAAAAAAATAAATAAATCAAATTAAAAGTGCAGTAAAACAGCAAGCCAATAATAAAATAAAGTAACCAAGATTCAATTGCAGTGAAATTTAAAGAACAGGAGGGGACAAAAAAAAAAAAGACACAAAAAAATGTTATTGCACATACATCATATATAAGTACAAGTAAAAAAAAAAAAAATTAAGAGAAAAGAAGAAGAAGAAGAAGAAGAAAATAAAAAGAAAAGAAAATGAAAGAACATTGAAGGGGAAATTTAGGGTTAAGAAAGTGAAAGCAAAATTTTGAAGGGATCAAAGAAACTTGAAAAAACAAAAAAATAGAAGATAAAAAATAAATAAATAAAGAGTGAAGACAGATTTATGAAAAGGCTTAATTTTATAGGGAAATATGTAAAATTTTAAAAATTTATATACACTAAATTAACTATATATATAACTACATTGGCCCAAGGGGCATCTCTAAAAATAAGGAGCCACATTGGGCAAATGAATATGAGATATAAGAAAGTTGAAAAGAAAAATGTTCATACCTTAATATTTGTTGCAGCTCTGCCTTTAGGTCTCTTGCTGAACATTATCCACACAAAGGCGGTGAAAACTTTCACCCTCAAAAACACAAAGGCAATAATGAAAATTTGCTTTGGACTGGAATGTAGTTATATGAACTACATTATCAGCCATAAAGCAAAGATGTATATTGACCTTGAAAGGTTAAGAGATGTTACACCTGACAAAGCAAAGTAAGCCAACTTAAAATAGTTAGTATGCATATAAATTGACCGATACCACTAATTTCAAACTTTGAGGTAAAATTTTAATGTTTCTCGCATCTGGGCACTGATTTGTGAATTCCATTCAAAAATATCTCTGGTCGAGGCTGTGCACCCTGGATCAAAAAACATTGTAAATTCAACATTTCCCTTAAAATTAATTATCTTTAATTGCTATATTTCTTGTATTAGTTTTTTTCGCAAAATGTCAACCGGAACTGTTAACAAATCATAACAGAATTTCTAATAAAGGTATGAACCACATTATCAGATGATTACTTTTGGAAAGGTATGCTTCCACTATAATTAACGATGATTGTCTAACTCATATTTTCATCAATTTGTTTTATCAATAGTGGAAATGCTAACAGAAGGCTTTCGATTTTACAAACCAAAAAAGTACCACTCAACATATGATTAATCAAAAGAGAAAAAAAAAAAAAAATACCAATCTTCAAATTTCATGTGCAATAATGAGTCTTTCTCTATCTATACATATTAAGATGATAAGAGTTTGTTCTGGGTCTGCCTGATTTTTAATTTATTTATTGAAAACGTGCAGGGTGGAATTGTATCATACATATTGTATGCTATATGGGTAAGGAAATTCTGGTGTAAAGTGGGACCGTTGTAATTCAGTTGTTGCATAGATATATGATTTTCAAATGACTCGTTATCCACAACGTCCCAATATAATTTCTTATTCGCCCACATGTAAAATAAGAAGGTTAGCTATTGTATGAGTATGCAAATAAATTCCTAAAATTTCAAAGAGGAAGAGAGATTATGGCCCAATTCTATTATCCAACTACATAAACAATTGGAAATAAAGGAATTGAACCATAAAATCTATCCAATATGACTTCTGATATACGACTAAATAATCACAATCTTATAAATTATCAAATAATTCTAAATTTACCCCCAAAAAAATAGCAAAACATCCAATATTAGTTCCTAAACCAATATCAAAAGTTTTCAACTATTGTTCCTAAACCAATATCAAAAGTTTTCAACTATTGTTCCTAAACCAAAATTCACGTTCTTCAAGTGTTAAAGATGTTAATAAATCCTTTTTGCATTATATAATCAATGGCCTTGCAGCATATCAAAGAAAGTTATAAACTTTATGAAGTTGCCTTCACATAATTCTAATTCAAACTTAATTGAGAAAATACAAATAGCCTTATACTATTTTCAGTTTAACATTAAGAAAAGAATCAACAGTACTCTTCTTTTTTTCACAGAATCATTTAAGTTCCAAATCATTCCCTAAATGTTCTCTCACCTTTGCAACCATATTCACATGTCCATTTTCAAATTTGAAATTTCTATTTCCCATGCATATATCCACTTAATATCAAAGAGTGGTAAACAAAAGTGCCATTCAGACTCTCCATCATTTGCCATTATTTAATCCCGAATCAACAAATTTCAAATATGCATTTCTACACTTCAACCACTTTTGGCTATTTGAGGTTTGTAACAATGTCCCCACATTAAAGTCTTGATCCGTATTCATGTTTGGATAAATTATGAAGGAAAAAAAAGGAAATAATAGCATTCTTGTTTGAAAAAGGTAACATCGAGAAAAGAAAAGAAACCATTATAACCAATTTACAATGATACACTTTTGTATGATAGTGAAAGCTACCAAATCCAATAAGCACTCCCAAATAAAAAAATAAAAATAATGAACAATGAGTCATTAAAAGATTCAGTAAGAATGAATTTCAACATTGCTGTGTAATATTCATATGATGCCAACAAAGAAAAACGGGTACAAAGAAGACCAAAAAAGTAACAAAATTTTTGTAAGTTCACTTAAAACTTGTTTTTATTTTTATCTTCTATATGCTAAAGGCCATTACTTAGCTGGTCTTGGAGGAAAAGATTGGATATAGACTCAAAACTTTGGCAATGTTTTGCACAGGTGATTGCTCACAGACCTAACCTTCTAAATACAATTTCAAGCAATGATAAAACTAATTACACTATTTCATATTTTTATGAGTGAAGATGACGGACATGCTCTATCGAAACTTGTAGAAATCTCTATTAGTTAACTTTAATTAGAGTTCAACACATTTGACTTGGAAAATTTGTGTTAGGAATGATTAAGAGTGAAGGCATCAGGAAAATTTGTTTTGGTTTTCTTTAATGTTCATACTAAAAATATTTATTCATCAGGTTAGCTTTCGGGATGGTGATGAGTTGGTGTTAATGTAACTGAACTTCAAACTTGTACACGCGAAATCTGGTTAAATTGGATAGTGTGGAAAAGATTGGGTAGAATAAATTAAAAAAGTGAGAATTATATGCCCTAATGTCAAGATGGGATCCAAATGTTTCTAAATTTTTATTCTTTAAAATGTAAAGGTTATTTTCGGTATTATGAAAGTTTCACTTAAGTTGCTACCATTTCTCTCCAAATCTTCCCACTTGTGCAAGGATAGCAAATCCTTTTCTTTTTTTTTCTCTCTCCTGAATGATAAACTTAACATGAAAATCACCATCCCTCCCTTTCCTTTCCAATTCCATCAATCCAAACAAAGCCTTAGTAAATATCTTGCAACACTTGGTCTTTCCCCCAAAAGAAATTTTCATTTTGACAATATTTTAAAATTTTCATACAACTTTAAGAAATGTTATTTAATAGTAAATTAAAAAATCCAATGAAGCTACTAATTCAGAATGTTTCAAGTGTGCATTTGGGAATGAATGAAAGTGATACATACAATGTTAGAAATCAACTCATCAGAAGAAATTCAAAGATAGTGTATACTTGAATTCAAGTGATACAAATGAACGGATCAACCTCAATGCAAAGTTACACCCATGGAAAATGTCTTTTAATCTTAATGTGAATATGTTAACCGTCAAAGCAAAGTTACTTCTATGAAAAATGTATTTTAAAGGGACAAAACTAACTAAAGTGAATAATCAAAAGAATATCTGACGAAATCTTCACAACACTCGGCTGACACTATTTCAGTCTGATTTTGTAGATTGGTTTAGCACAACCCTACTCCCATAATGCATCCATACAAACACCATGTATCAAAAATAGGCAACCTAATCAAACAGGAAAAATACACATCACCAGTAACATACCTATTTTCCGACACTACTCAATCCAAAGAACGGGGATAGGTTGAAGAAACAGTCCTGCACCAATACAATTGAAGGAGAAGTCATAAGAAACATTTATTAGTCTTATTCTGAAGATTGTAAGATGTTATTTAGAACCTGTAGTAGAAGAGGTTGTTTGTAAGAAACTTAACAATTATGGAGATGGTGATTTAGACTCATGAATTCAAAATGTGTGCCATTAAATAAAATAGATGTTAACATAGGCAATCCAACAACTCTAGCAAAAAGAAAACAGTTACCCGAAGACTGAGGCGACATCTCCGGAGTCCAGACTCTTTAAGCCGGGATCAAAGCCCAAACCCTACGTCCAAAATACTGATAAACTGGTCCTGGGAATAACCTAGGAAAATGTTTCACCATTTTGTGTTATTCCAATAAAAAAAAAAAAAAGAGAATTTACTTGATTGAGATTGTATAATACAAAAGTGGGACTTGATTATTGGTGTACATATATGCATATATTAATTTTATAATCAAAATATTAGTATTCAAACCCACCAACCAGTCCACTGAGTTGAATTGTTAATCAAGTATTATATATAAGTAAAAAATTACATGAAGAAGCCACAAACCGGCTCAATCTAACAGCCCAATCTAGTAATCTAGTCATTGAACTAGATAGTTCGGTGAAAGTAAACAAGTTGGCTGACTACTCTCAACCACAAAAATAAGAGAGAATTGAGTGATAAATCTCCACCACAAAGGCAAGAGAGAGACATGATCGAGGAGATCGCTTCAGAGCGAATCCGGTGGTCTTGGTGGAGGATGAAGGACTTGTATTCATGTACTTTCTATCTTTCCTCCCTTTAACAAACTGCTTCAATTCATTGGGGAGAAATACCAATGACGCAGTCAATCCGTGGCACGAAATCCATCATCGAACTTGTTCAATGCGCCAAGAAGACAAGCAAAAACCTTTCTGGCAACAGTAGATGAGAAATCTACACCCATTTCAGAGTAGCAACCAGTCAACAACCTCAGGCATACCAAGGTTGTCAGGATCAAAGATCCGTCTATACGATCGGATCATAGTACGGTTGTACATATAGAAATTCACTAGTTAACATCATAATCATGCATTTGGGACAGCCTAAGTATATTTTTTCTGTGACTGAGAATTAAAGTGAGCTATTTATGATCTTAAACATACCTTTGTTTAGTGCGAAAAGATAGTGCCAAATAGAGAGCACGCGTGGTAGATGCGCCGGAGAGAGAGATGAAGCCGGATTGAAGACTTTTTCCGGAAACTTTTAAGGGCTTCTTTGCTTCGCTAGGCAAGTTTATATAGAAGAGTGGGGTGAAGGTGGGTTGAACATTGGTACCCGTTTTCAACAGAGCATGATAAAATAGGTGATCCAAATCCACTAAAAAATGGGCGGGTTAACGGGTTTGAACCTCCATCTCTTTGGCTTTCTCTCTCTACCGGATGAGAAAAGATAAGAAAAGAAAAGAAAAATAGGGTGTAAGTGTGTTTCACTGGGTCAAATGGAGACAAAAGAGAGGATAGGAAGAGACTGGTATCCCTCACTGTTCTCCATTTGCTTTCTCTCCAATTTTAATTAACCTTCACAAATCAATACACATATTTAATATTTCATTCAAGTCCCTGTTACATGCATCGTTGGAGTTTTATATCCCAATGCTCCATTGTTGTACACTGTAAAAAAAAATAGAGGTTATCCCATTTTACCATCTATGGTGGAAGATATCAAGGTCTGGCCTCTTTGGGGTGGTCCATTCATTAATATAAGAGAATAGGGTTTTAGTGGACAAGGTCTTATCTGATGCACTCTTTACCTTTTCTGCCTCGTTTCAAAAAATTTATTTGAAATGTGTTCGATATATCCATGATCAGCTTTCCAAGAATGTACACATATGGTATATATATACAATATATTAAGCATATTCTCACATTCTCACATTTTACGATATAGTCGTGATACTTTGTGAATCTAAATTAAATATAAATATGGTATCTGATCTTGCAAAAAAAAAAAATTATCAATGTCGTATACAAAAAAAATTGCAGTTCTCCAAGTTCATAAAAAGTAAAAGAAACAGTAAGTTACACAAAATCTTTCCCCAGTATAACAAGGCCTCATGCTCTTGCTTTGTGGAAAGGGGTAGGACACTAATTTGATTATAATCCTTTTTTTTTTTCTCATCTTTCTTATCCAAATTAGAACAACCATCCTTTTTTTTTTTTCTTTTTTTTTTCCTCCCCTTTTTATCTAAACATGAATAGAAATTATTACTATCTTTTTTTTTTCTTTTTTTTTTTTTTCTCTCCTAACTAATGGTATCATTCCTTAATTGATACATGTGCGTCTATCAATTCAACATACATTCAAGATATTTTATCAAACATGTAACGAAGAGATTCTCCCTATCTCTTGAACCAAATTCTTAGTGAAAAAAATGATTTTCGATAACTTCTTGATTATTCTTCCGTCCATTGAACCAAATTCTTAGTGAAAAAAATGATTTTCGATAACTTCTTGATTCCTCTTCCCAAATTTATCATTTATTAATTTTGTTTGAGATAGAGATAGGCATATCTCATTTTAACAATGACTGAACCAATGAAGAAAGTGAGAGAAATGGAACTTAACCAACTTTTTCTTTTATGATGGACAAATCAGGTCTCTATTTTGCAAGAAAGTAGGAGGAGGTGTCTTTTAACTAAAATAAGTTTGCTTTTTTTCTTAATAAATCAAAAGTGATTTTGAGGATTTTTTATGAAACTTCTCTTATTAGAGTTCTCACTACCACAAATTATTTGAATTCAATTTTTTATTTTTCGTATTTGTATTTGATTTTTTGTGCAATGTTGAGTAAATTGCCTCAATTTTGGATGAGTTAAATGTCTTTAATTTACAATTTGTTTTTTAATTTTTATCTTTTAAACATGTAGAAGTGTAGAACCCAAATTTGTTCACTTGTTATTTTCTCAAATTTATATGTGCAACTCCCAGGAGGTAACTTAATTGCAAAGATTCTCACATTACTACTTGAAAATCAAAAGTTTGGATTCACTTGGAGTCACCCATAAAGATTTTTTTTCATAAATACAAAGTCGAGTCAAAATTATGAGTCCTCGTTGGGTCAAAAGGTTTTTTTTTTTTTTGGAAATATTAAGGGTGTGAAAAACTAGTAACTGGTTTTTAAAGCTGAGCTTGTTTTAAAATAGGTTGGTTTTATTGAAGGCAAATGATAGGATGACCGAATGATTTTTCCGAATAAGTCTCGAATCTAACGTGTTTTTGTCTACCTCATCTACTTAAACAGTTTTCAAATAATAATTATTTAACACGTGATAAGTATACCTAACCACGTCAAATTCAGGACTTATTTGGGAATTGCTTTTAGGTTCCCCTATCATTACTCTTTATTAAATTAGTCAAACTATATTAATTTAGATTTATAGCTTTAAATTTCATAAAATAAGATAGAATTAAAGAATTTTCAAAAGAAATTACATTTTTTTAGGTAAATCAAACATGTTTGACCAATTACTTGCATAATTAGTATGAATTTTAATATTTTTTAACAGCTCATTTATAATCTGAAATTATTTATATCCCGATTTGCTTTTCACCCGACCTCACATTTGACCGCTCATCATCGAATAGGTTCAATCTCAACCCAACTTGCTCATTTGTTAGGCTCATAAGAAACTTATTTATTTATTTTATTATTGTCTTTTTTATATTTTTTGTGTCGAACTTTTTATAACACTCTCATAATTTATTACTGATCACATATCCCTGAATGTTTTTGAGAACCACTCATAAAAATTTGAACTCCCAAATAAGCACAAATTATATAACAATGAGATACATATAATCTTACTCATTTAACCTAAATTTAAACAACAATTTTCTTATATAACAATGAGATACATATAATCTTACTCATTTAACCTAAATTTAAACAACAATTTTCTTTTCTAAAAAAACAATCTTTTACCTAGTTATAACACTGTGTGTGTGTGTATATATATATTATTACTATTATTATTTTTAAAGAGAGAGAAACACAACTCCTCAGAATCAAACCTTACTACAAAAAAAAATAATAATAATAAATTAATCACACCCCTAAACATTGTGGCGGGTCAGACTAATTTGCTGCTCGTTTAATCATTGTCATATTTACATTTATGTGCATGTTCAATTACCTAAACATGACGAATTGACAAGTAGCACGGTTGAGGACAACTATGTAAATTCGAATAGAGTCTCATTGACACCTAATTTATACCAATGATTTTACAGGATCGTCTCATGGAATAGAAGCATTAAACAGAAATGTCACCGTTGGTCCATTCTAGCCTTTGGACTTCACCATTCAAACATTTGCATTCTCAAAAGAAGCTATTACTTCTCAAATTATCCACCACCACCACCACCACCACCACCGAACGGTATGATGAATCGAAGCCTAGTCGGCCCTTACCCCCTCCGATCCGAGTTTCGCTCACTGAGTCAGCCGGCCGAGGCGTGTTCGCGACCCGTAGAATCGGTACTGGAGAACTCATCCACACTGCCAAACCCATAGTTTCTCATCCTTCTCTCTCTTCCATCCACGGTACCTGTTATTTCTGCCTCAAAAGGCTTGGAAATAAAACAAGTTCTTTAGCCGAGGGTGTCTCATTTTGCAGCCAAGAATGTAGAGAACAATATAAGGTAAAATGGGTATACACAGTTACAAACACATGTGATTTGTGGTTATTGTTTTCTCTCAAAAAGTAATTTTATTCACTTTGTTCTAGTATTATTGTCTAATGTATTTGCGGGGTTCTGTTTTTATATTGTTTGGTGAAGAAAGATAGTGCATGACTTCATTCTGAAATTTTAAATATGGTACATGCCCATGACATGTTTGTGAATTGGTTTGTGGGACAAGTGGTTAGTTGGGTTGTCATAGTATTAGGAGTGAAGTAGCTTTGCTTTGACCACTTCAATCATAAAATTGGATTTGGACTAATGCGGTTCATTGGATGTTCGAATTTCATGTAAGTGTGTTAAAGGGTTAGTTTTTAACCCCAACTCAGTGCACAAGAATTGTGGGCTGTTGTACTGACAACATTGTTTCAGGTGTTTCTAAGGACAATCATCTACCCAAATTTCCTAATTTATTCATTTTGATAATTTTTGGAAGGATTCAAGGAGTTTTCATTTTTATCTTTTAAAAGAAAAACCAAAATAAGGGTATTCAGCTATATGGGCAACCTGAACACTGCCTATTTATTAGACGGATCAAACAAAACAGAATCGTAATCAGATTTTGTTGATTCAAGGTACAAATATGACATGCTTATGGGTAGATTACAATATGCAAAAGGTAGAGAATAATGTTTAAGAAAGAAAAAAAAAAAGGTTACTGGAGCATTGTAAAAAATAAAGAAGTGTCTATCTAATAAAAGGGGAATGTTGTGCTTGGTTTGGGTAACTCCTACCTTCTAGTTTCTTAGTGGAATTTGTGGACGATCTACTTATCATTCTAATTTATTAACATGTCAGTCATTTATGGCCTATTTTTGAATTCTCTTTAGGAATATATATATATATATATTTCAGCCATCTTTAGAAGTTCGTGGGAAATAATAAACCATTTCGTGCTTTAAATGGGCCTCAATTGATCTCCATTTCATTGAAACTCATGCTTTTCCCATGATTTCAGGATTATTATGAAGTTGAGAAGATGGCAGATTGGTCATCCTACAATGACTACTGCCGGTACGGAATTTTCTCAAACCTTAAATTTTTATTTGCTTGTATTGCAGTGATCCTCCAACATCATGATAAATTGTGTTTTGGTCAAAATGTTTTTCCTTATTCTATTCACGTTGACACCATAGTTCTACCTTGTAATTCATTGGTTATTAGAAATATGGGCTGCATTCCAGTTTTAAGATCATCTTGCAACATGATACGCTTAAAAAGCAGCTGTAGTCTTCTTCATTTTTCTTCATTTGGAGTTAAATTCAGCATGGAAAACAACTTATGCACTAATGGCATAGAAACAATTTTTTATGTTTGGCAAGGAAAGATTTATGGTTGTCATATTCATGACTTAGCAATTTCGTGGTTCCGGCAAATTATCAAATTTCAGATTCTAAACTATGCTCATGCAGTTATTTTAGATTTTGTCTTGTCATCTATATCAATGCATGCATGCTTACAATGGCATGCCTACTAATTTAAGATTCTATTAGACAGTTGTTGTGGACTGAAGATTAGACTATGTGGTGCAACTTGATACACAAGACATCTGATAGACAAGGCACCCTCGATGGAACTACTATTTTGGTTTAATACAATCACATTTAGGAAAAAAAATAGTCGTTCCATTGAGAGTGCCTTGTTTATCAGGTGTCTTGTTTATCAAGTTGCACCACATTATAACATGATTGTTAACTGAAATTCCAGCTATCTACAGAGTTAAATGTGTGTTGCACTTTCAATTCTCTGGCCACATCACTAAATATTAAAACAACAGTTGTATCATTTAATTGCAAGTTTACAATAGGCATGATGAGTAATTGTATACCCTTGTGCTCCCCAATCAATAAATATTTCACAAGGCATCCTTCAATTTGAATTATTTATTTTTTGAAGTGCTCAAGGTTTGAAATATCCACTTCTTGTCAAGCGGTTAGCTTGTATGGTTATATCAGGAGTAGCCTCTGCTGATGATCTTGACATACTTCAGCCTGCTATTTTATCTCCTGAGATGACTTTTATGGTAAGTTAAGACTTATCAATCCTGATGTTAATTATTTTTTTAGTTAAGAAGGTTCAAGCAGGGCTTTGAGCCATGTCAGGTGCGATTTATGTCTCTCTTTTATTTGAAAATTTCCATGCACAAGTTTGTCAAATTTATCGTACTATAAAAATTTAATATTAGATCTAAATTAGATATAGGTTAGATCTTGAAAGACAATGCAAAAGGAATAAAGTTTTTCAAAATCTGACCAATTAATTTAATGTTTGGGAATCCTAGATTGTAAATCTATGGAGAAATATTGAGTTTTCATTTGTTTGAATGAGCAAATATGAGGATTTGAGGGCTAGTGGTACAAGGAATTTGCATGAATTTGAGGGTTGGTGGTGGAAGAAATAAGAGACGAGAAAAAAAAGGGTTAGATACCCAAACCATTTAATGACATGAAATGACACTATGGGATTGACTTGCCTGAGAATGTCACATCATGCTTGTGACGTGGCATGACGTGACCATCTTGGGTGTATCAGCCGGTGATATTTAAATTTAAAACACATTGAAACTATGTTGTTTTGTGCATGTTTTATTTATTTATTTTATTGTAAATGCTTGAATCGCACTTTACATGGCTCAACTAGACTGAATCGAGTGATTTGCATGTGTGATGTGCCATGACGAGCTTGACTCGGCTGAATTGAGCCAAGTCAACTGCGATTTTCATTTGAACTGAGATCTTGGCCTTACTTTGTCTTGAATTTAGCTTAGTTTGAGTTGAATTGAGCAAGTTGGTCCTAGTCGACTGAGTTTTGAAAACTTGGTGAGAATTAGGGAAAGGAAATGTATAATTTGACAATGATGATACATTAGTTGGCTTTTGTTTCTTCCATTTCTTGTTATTATCATTTTATAGATCATGACAATAATCAGATTGAAAAGGAGTTTTGCTTGCTTAAGAGTGTCTTCAATAATGCACTTATCACAGGCGAAAAGACAGCGTGTATCCTCCATGCGGGAGAGATTTCCCTTTATTTTATTTCTTTTTAAATAAACTACTTTCCATGTGTTATTTGTAGCATTTTTGAGTTTGAGATATACAAAGTTCTTTGACATTACTAGTTCTAACCGAGCAATGGTACAATGGTGTGCTTGCAAGAATTCGCATTAATGCATTCCGTATTGAATTGGTTGGAGGGATGTATGAAGATCTTCTTTCAGCAGCGTCAGCATCTGTAGAAGCTGAAGCTGCTGTTGGAAATGCTGTTTATATGCTTCCGTCCTTCTACAACCATGACTGTGGTAAGCTCTCTTATTCATTTGCTAATTCAGAGTCTGCTGTTTATGAGGGGCACAAGCCAAGCTACACATCTTTGCTTCCTTTGCTTAGTTGTTTATATATATACCTAAGGCTGAGGGAATTTGTTCTGGGAATTTAGGATATATTATAATAAAATGGTTTAATTGTATTTTCTAGTGATTCAATGTAAATAATTGTCTAGTTCAATGGAGTCATCACCTAAATATGCGCATTATGTTCAAAAGAACAAGCAGAAATAAGACCTTTAAATACTAAATTGATCCACGTAAAAGCCATTTAAAACGAAATGAGAAGTTTTCATTTCTATGTAAATCCAGGCCTGATTAATCAGTGATTGGTGATCAGATGCAGAGGTTCCTATAGACAACCGACGACCATAAGTGATTGGTACACGTTTCCTAATGTGGTATATTGAACAAAAACATGCATATGCAGTAATTTACGCACTGCCTTCCAGAATCCGGTACCAAGGGATAAGCATATATATAGGAAGTGCTTAAGGAAAATTTAGGAATATTCTAAGATTTTTGGACAATCTCTCCCTTCCTCATTTGGAACACTCTTGAATTGGACAAGTTTTTTACTTCCTTTAAAAGCATGCTTAATATGGTTTATCCATTTAAGGGCGCAACTCCTCTTAATTTTCCTTATTGTAGGTTTTTTTGTCTCTGGCCATTAGGCCTTTTGCCTTAGATCTTTATATCCTAGTAGGTTCAATTCATTAATTTTTATGTTTCCTTGTAAATTGTGAAACTGAAAGTAGACATGATAATGAGATTTTCCTTGCCAATTGGGCAGGTTTTAGGGCATTATCGCTCTAGTGAATAGTAGGATTTGTGGTTCTATGCAGCTGACTTTTTGTTCTTACAGATCCAAATGTACACATTATTTGGATAGAAAATGTGGATGCGAGATTGAAGGCTCTCCGTGACATTGAAGCAGGTTAATCTCATGTTTCTGCTTTTCTGTTTTTCCTTAAAATCTTCTAGGCTGAGTTTTGTAGTAGGCTGATATAGAAGTATTAGGAAGAGGACTTGAGTAAATAACTCACCATGCTGTTTATGGAGCAAGAATATGGATTCATTGATAAAAATTCTACAACTGCTTTCGTAGCGTCCATATCTCATACCCATGTTTGAGTATATACTGCAACTACTTTTGAAGCGTCCATGTAACATTGCTAGATGTTAATTTCATACCTCAACTAAAAACATTAATGGAGTTTTTCACTTTCAGTTTACAAATAGTTTATATGGTAGTTGCACTATATTTTAATATCTCACACATGTAAGGTACAGGGTTGATATTTGGATAGGCATTTATTATTGCACTTGTATGCAACACCAGGGCTTTTAAGTCACTGATTATATCATTACAATAACATAAAGTATTTTTAATGAAGCAATATTGCTTCATATAAACATGACTAGCTGCTTCTGAATATATAGTAATCATTCCCTTCAGTATCTAGGAGCTACTTTTTTGCTGACTCATGAGCGGGGAAAATCTCAGCCTATAAAGACACTAGCATTTGACAGTTCACAACTTTAGGTGATATCTCTTCTCCTCTTTTTGCCAGGCAAAACTTGGGGGTTCAGGAAACATTTGCACAGTATTTTGTTTAAATAATCCTCCTTCAACCCAGTATATTCTATACTATATATATATAAAATGAGTTTTGTCTGCCATAAATAGACTTAAAATTCTTGATGTGGCATGGTTAAAAAGTGATTTCTAGTGAAGCGATATACCGCATTACCAAATGCAAACGCGTATGGCATGTTTCATTTTATCATCAGCCATGCAAGTATGAAGTTCTAAAATGGCACCTCTTGATCTCTGTTGTTGACAAAGCTGGCTTATAGGCACTTCTTTTTAATAAAACTTCCAGATGAACCATTATCTAGATTTTATTTTCCTGTTTGGTATTGCAGGTGAAGAGCTGCGAATTTGCTATATCGATGCAAGTATGGATCATGGTGCTCGGCAAACTATCCTGTCCGAAGGGTTTGGTTTTCAATGCCGTTGTCCTAGGTGCTTATCTGGTGATTAAGGTGTTCCTTATTTTTGTTTTTGTTTTTCCCCACTGGTGGGGCAAGAGTTGGGTTGGGGGGTTGGGTTATCCTTTATCAAGCAAATGCAAACTAAAGTTGACAACTAAGCTGAATAAAGTGGTGGGAATTTGATATTCAAATTTCTGATTGTATTTGTGATTGCTCAATTTGCATTGGCTTCAAGTTTGCCGTGACACCAATATGTAGTGCTGGGCTTTCTTTATTTAATGCAGTTCAAGTTTGATTTTGTATAGGCTTGTTCATAAATGAATTGCTGATAAATGAGCTTGAGCTTGAAGCCTTGAGCAATCTAATACAGGATTAAACTTGTACTGCATTACATAAACAGCGAAAAGAGTGGCTTAGCTCTATTTTTTTATTTTTATTTTTATAATTATTATTATTATTATGAGCAATTCATTTATGAACAAACCTATACAAAATATGTTCTTTTGTCAACCATTTGATCTTAGGATGGATGGGTGACCAGAATTTTAAGTCCTCTGAATATATATAATGTATGATGTACAGATCTTGTGAACCATCTTGGCGTTCAAACTGTTCAGATTCAAAGTTGGCATGGTTAGGTAAATGATTATTTTGTGACGCTTAACATCGGACCAAAAGTAAAAGATATTAAAGCCACCCTGGTGCATATCGCGGTAAGGTATTCACCATTTTTGTCAAATTATTAATTTTACCAAGAAAATACATTATGCCACCTTGGTACATTTTGCCTACGGTTTTCACCACTTTTGTTGAATTATTAATTTTGCCCCAATTTCAATCGTGCAAGTTCATGAGAACATATTGTGTTAAAAAAAAAAAAAAAAAAGTAGTTCATTGAGAACATATTTGCTTATTCTTTTAAGAACATGCTTCACAGAGCACCAAACAAATGCACAACACTTAATAATAATTGTCCATGTATGTAGCTTGGATGCGCATGTAGAAAGAACGTATAAATTTAGGTTAAAATCGGATTAGACTCTTGGCTTCTTACTGGGTTACTCTAGGTTGGTATCGTCCAAGCTCGGCCCAAACTTTAAGGTGTCCAGGCCCCTGAAAAATGGGTTGGATTTGATTGTCCCACTGTCCCCACAGTCCCACTTGCAAATTGAAACCAATGAATGAAAAAGTGACTGAACAGTGAATCTGAAATTGATTTATGTTACTGATTAATTTAAGGGTAAAAAAATAAGGAAAGTAAAAAAAAAAAGGTAGTTTGAAAATGAACCCATTTTCAACATAGGGCTCTTCTTTAATAAAATCCCACACCCTTTATTCTCAGATACTTTTTGCCATTGTTTATAACCTAAATTGATAATAAAATATAAAACAAAATTATATTCCCTCCATCTTAGCCGTTGGAGAGAAATGTGGAAAGGTGGCAAAAAGAGAGCCTTTTCATTACACTCCTAACTCTCATCTCCTCTTCCCTTAAAACCTCAACCCACCCCTCTCTTCTCACTCCTCACTCTCTCTCTCTCTCTCTCTCACACATCAAACCAAACTCAAAACTATAGTTGTTTGTTTGTTAACTAGTCTTTTGCTTTCTTTTTGTATAGGAGGTAATTAGTTAAGGTTTCAACTCAACCATTTTCACCTTTCGAACTTAAGTTTGTTTTACAATTTTCTTCTCAACTTTTCAATTCTCCAGGCAACAATGGAAGCTTTTTCTCTAACTTCCTTCTCAACTATGCCAAAGGACACGGTAAGATTGTCCGGTAAGCGTGAATGTAGCTTGTTGAAGAAGAAGAAGAAGAGCATTGTGTATTGCCAAAATGGTGGGAATGCAGTAAAATCTAGTGGGCTGGCTTCTGTTTTGCCTGAAAGATCAGCGGTGGTGAGCTCGGATCATGGTACGGCCCTATTGGATGCAGGAAGCTTGGTTTTGACACCGAATGGGAAGGGCCAGGCTGAGGGTACCGCAGTGAAGGAGTTGGTGCCTTATGGTGCGCCTACCAAGCATATATTGCAGATGGGTGATGGTATTGGCATTGTCAAGTTTCTTAGAGGAAAGGGTTTTTTCATCACTGGTGCAACTGGTTTTCTTGCAAAAGGTACATATTTTTCATACTTGTAACTAGCCTTTCTTTGTATATGGAAATATCGTGGGCCATTTTCACTTCCATATATATATATATATATATATTATGGATTCAAAGAGACTCATGGATGATTAGGATGTTACCGAGTTTCTTTTTGATTTCACAAATTGGATTCCTTAATCTAAACTTCAATTCTAGCTGCTAAACATTATTATTAAGTGCATTGATAATTTGATAGCCAAAAACTTTAAAATTATAATTAAATTAATTTTCAATATCATAATATAATGAGCCTCCTTTCAATTCACATGATCTACGTGATAAGATGAAGCTATGTGGGGCTACTAGAAAAACAATTGTGTAAATCATGATAACATTTTTATGATCACCATGTTTTCCATGTATATATATGTTTATTTGAGGTTTTTAATGATGATGATATGGTTTCCGTTTTCTTTCTATTACCCTTTTCTGGTTTATTGTTATTCAGTTCTTATTGAGAAGATACTACGGACTGTGCCCGATGTGGGGAAGATATTTCTGTTGATCAAGGCGAAAAACAAGGAAGCTGCAATGGAAAGATTGGAAAATGAAGTATTATTACATACTGCTAAACTTCAATGCATTGGCTTTTAATTTTTTTTTTTTTCTGTGTTCATAATTATATAAATGATCTATGATTGTTGTAGATCATAAATACAGACCTGTTCAAGTGCCTTCAGCAAACCTATGGAAAATCCTATCAAGCTTTCATGTTGAGCAAGCTAGTTCCTGTGGTCGGAAATGCCTGTGAATCTAATCTTGGGTTAGATGAAGATATTGCAGATATGATTGCAAAAGATGTTGATATTATTGTAAATTCTGCAGCTAATACAACTTTTGATGAAAGGTAATGAGAAATTTTACATTTTCTCTAGTGATTGAGATGTCAATGGCTCTCTTTAAGTGTCTAAAAATTTGATTTTGATGAAACTGCAGATATGATGTTGCCCTGGACATAAACACAGGAGGACCAAGTCGCCTTATGAGCTTTGCAAAAAAGTGCAAGAAACTTAAGCTCTTTCTGCAAGTATCTACAGGTAAGTGCGATGAAGGAAAATATAGGGAACAATCGTCAACACTATCACTTGCCTGTAATTTGACCAGCATCTTGCTTTGTTAGCATGTATAACTACTACTTGTCTCAAACGTTCAAGCTTTTGAAAAACTGATGTCCTTGTCACCCACTATTAGGAGGATCGTTCTATGGCCACTAAATCATTTCCGATGCCCTGTATGAAGCAGGACATTACTTGCTCGGATACTATGTTAAAATCACTACTTGCCTGGAAAGCTTTAAAATTTTGAATTATTAGTGGTGTGTTGGTCACCCAAATCTAGGAATAATCGTTTTATGTCCACTAGATGATTTTTGGTGACCTATATGGAGCACTTTTCCTCCAGTACTGTATATTATTAATTTTGTTAACAACTACAGTTTAGATGCATATTGTTGGCAAAATGTGCCTGCTAATTCCAATTACACGTATCAACTACAATCACATTTTGATTTGTTCTCTTGCCTACAGCTTATGTTAATGGACAAAGACAAGGAAAAATCATGGAAAAGCCATTCTGCATAGGGGATAACATTGCAAGAGAGAGCCTCATTTTTGAAACCTCGGAAGGATCCCTTCCTTCATTGAACATTGAAGATGAAATAAAGCTAGTTTTGGAATCAAAGAATGCATTCGAAGATGACGCAGTAGCTCAGAAAATGATCATGAAAGAACTAGGTTTGGAGAGGTGACGAGTCTCAACTTTTATTCTTTCTTGAATGTTATCTTATATTAGTAGCTACATTGGAAAAAACAGACGAAAATTTGAATCCGACAATGTGCACAACCTACCCTATATTAAATTTTAAAATTATCACTTTATTTATTAAATGAACACCCTTTTTACATGTTGTAATCGAAAGGAGTCTGAATTTATGGTAACACAAAGTTTGATCTAATCAGGGCAAAGAAATATGGATGGCAAGATACTTATGTGTTCACAAAGGCTATGGGAGAGATGTTGATCGATAATATGAGAGGAGAAATACCGGTAGTCATAATTCGTCCCAGTGTTATTGAGAGCACTTACAAAGAACCATTCCCTGGATGGATGGAAGGAAATAGGTATGCCATATAATTTGGTAATGGCAAGCATTGCTCTGTTGTAAACTTTGTCGTGATTCTCTCTCCCTCTGCAGGATGATGGATCCAATTATTCTTTATTATGGAAAAGGGCAACTCAGTGGATTTCTGGTTGATCCAAATGGTGTCCTTGATGTAGTAAGTAGCAATCTTCTGGTTCTTATTTACTAATCATACAATCCGAGGACAGACTGCCTATAATTGGCAGCCTGTAAGTATTACATGTTGTCACAGATCATTGTTTTTATATGAATTGCTTGGACATTCATGACATCATGCATGGTATATAGAATATACAAGCTGATAATAACATATTTAGATGTCACATTTCCTTTTGACCTCATGAAGGTCAGGTGCTGCCTTCTTAACATGACTAGTTGCAGGTCCCAGCTGACATGGTCGTCAACGCAACCTTGGCGGCCATTGCAAAGCACGGTGCAGCAGGAAGTTCAGAAAGTAACATCTACCAGATTGCTTCATCAGTTGTTAACCCTCTAGTTTTCGGGGACCTGGCCAGATTGCTGTATGAACACTTCAATTCCATGCCATTCATAGACTCAAAGGGGACACCAATCCCTGTTCCCACAATGCAACTCTTCAGCTCCATGGAAGACTTCTCATCTCACCTCTGGAGAGACGCAATAAATCGAACTGGATTGACCGCTTTACCCACTCCGAATGGGAAGCTGTCCCAAAAACTCGAGAATATTTGCAGAAAATCAGTGGAGCAAGCAAAGTACTTGGCAAATATATATGAACCATACACCTTCTATGGTGGAAGGTAAGATAACAATTTTATAGTTCCTGTATATTTGCTTCTCTTGTGGAGCAATATTGTATTGACATATATAATGAATAAAAAAAACTGGCAGGTTTGATAATAGCAACACTCAGAGATTGATGGAATGCATGTCTGAAGAGGAAAGGAGTGAATTTGGATTTGATGTGGAGAACATAGATTGGAAAGATTACATAGCAAATGTCCACATTCCAGGTCTAAGGAGGCATGTGATGAAGGGTAGAGGGATGTGCAGCTAAGTAAGTACAATATATATGCATCTTGCAGTTGGGATTAACTTCGAAATCCAAGTCCTGCATATGATTGTAATGAACTAGTGTAATTGCCTTTTTCTTTTTCTTTTTCTTTTCTTTTGTTTTTAAGATTTCCCATAAGTGGGGGGCAAAAAGAAAAGCTTTGCCTTTATCATAATTACTGTGATATCATTGCATCCTTAACTTCTATCATAAAAGCTCTTTTGGTTAATTCAGTTCTCTTGATGGATTGCAATTTAAGGGGTGTTTCCACATAAAAATGAAGTGTTAAATGCTCAATCCATTGAAATTTCTTAATACGTACAGATCAAGTACAGTTAACACTGGTAATTTTCATATACATACGTACTGAAGCTTCAAATGAAAAGGTGAGCTATGCCATTGCAGTTAACACCAATAATATTTCAGTCCACTGTGTGATGAATGAAAGTTAAGAGACGTCCATGGGTGATCCATCTTTCAGGTCAATTATAAAATAAAAATTAAGTAATGAAAATTTGAAGAGCTAGCTAGATTTTAGAAGTTTTGAAGCAGAATGCAGTGTGTTGCGAACAGTTAGACATAGGAATTTTGTTAAGGTCATAAGTACACGTTCCAACCCTGAGTTAAGAGCATTAATGGTGCTGCAATACATGCCTAATGGAAGTCTGGAGAAGTGGTTAATTTTATTCTCACAATTATTGCTTGAATCTGCTTCAAAGAGTTGGCATCGATCATGCTTGATGTTGTCTTGGCTTTGGAATATCTTCGTCATAATCAATCAGAGCCAATTGTTCACTGTGATATGAAGACATATATGGTCGCGCATGTCGGTGATTTTGGCATTGCAAAGTTTGGAATATCTTCGTCATAATCAATCAAAGCCAATTGTTCACTGTGATATGAAGACATATATGGTCGCGCATTTCGGTAACTTTGGCATTGCAAAGTTTTTAACTGAAAATAAGATTGAAACACAAACACCGTAACTTTGGCATTGCAAAGTTTTAAACTGAAAACAAGATTGAAACACAAACAAAGACTTTAGGTGCGATTGCTACATGTATTTTTTTTCTGCCTTAACTATTCTATTTTCCAATATCTGTTTTTTCTTTAATGCAGCCAATAATTAAGAAATCATTTACAATAATAGCATCTCAGGCCATTGCTGCCAGTTGATTTTTTTAATTCAATTTTATCTTTAACACATATATGGAAGCAATAGGTTGGTTATCTGCACCAGTCTTGGGCATGTGTAGGTGAGGTTTTGGTGATCGATCCTGACAAATGCGTTTGTTTTATCTGATATATGGAAGCAATAGGTTGGTTATATATATGCATTTTTGCATGGTTCAAATAATCAATTAGGAATTATTATTTGTCTACATATTACCTTGGATATTATGTTGGTGAGGTTTCTGGTGATCCAAGCCAATTGTTTGGTTGGGTTGTTGAATTTCTTTTGTCAACTTTACGATTATATTATGGTAAAAACTCGATATATATATATACTTTGTGCCCAGCTTATAGCTAAGTGAAGAATTTTCACGAAGAAAATTTTATTAACAGTAGTATATCATATATATATATATATATATATATATATAGAGAGAGAGAGAGAGAGAGAGAGAGAGAGAGAGTGGATTGGTTTGTTTTTCATGCTCTCTATTCTACTATTATATTGAACCATGTCCATATTAACAAAAAAAAAAAAAAAAAAATTCACTTCATAGACAAAGCCCATTAACCAAAGAAAAAAGAGGGTAGGGTTAATATGAACAGTAAAAGAAAAATCTTGAAAAGCAGTGGAAACTTCAACAGAAATCTAGGGCACAAACTCAAAATTCCAATTTGCAGAGACGTAAGCATGCGAGGTCAACTATCACATCACATTTGAAAGGAAATTTTTTTTCTCTGATGGATGAAAGGAGGAGTTCTCGTGGATTGGATATTTCCTTTGTAAAAGGGCAATTAATTACATGTTTCACTGATCGAGGAGGCGAAAGCGAATGGATTCGCAAATGAAGGCCAACCCTATCTAATCAGCTCAATAGTGATGATATATATATATATATATACATATACCCTCACACTAGTCTATGGGATGGATGGATGATGAGGAAGAGTGTTAGTGTGATATTTGTGAAATATAAATGCTTTGTCAACAAATATTTCTTCTACCACTGTGAAGATCATGATCATGAATGCTACCCTCATCGGAGATGCGTTCTCTAAGGATGATAAATATTCAAATGTTGAGTTGGGCGGGCTCAATAATATCACTACAATCGTGAAGACATGCTCGCAATGGTTCGAGATCACGAGGACAAGACTCCATGCGACAACTGTGTCTCTGCGATGAGGTCTTCTTTTAATGTGAATACTGCAATTTCAACTTTGAACATGTCACGTTCTGTGCAATAATGTTTTCAATTTACAAGTTTTATATAAAGGCACACAGTCATATAAAGCCAAAATGAAAGTAAAAATTCTTGAGCGGAGTGCAAAAAAAAAGGTAATATTTAATCACAGATAGTGAAAATTTGAGCGAGAATGTATGCCGAATTTGAGAGCGAGTGCTCAGAATATGGAGTATAAATATATTTTTTCCTCCTCTGCTTAATTTACTACTTGGCAAAATATATATATATATATATATATATATATATTTAGAGTAATGTTACTTAGATTTTTTATTTTTTATTTAGAGTAATGTTACTGAGATTTTCCTCTTTTTATTTTTATTTTTATTCTTATTTTTTATTTTTATTTTTATGATTATGTACAAATATTGAGGTACGAACTCAATTACTTGTAAATGAGTAAAAAGAGAGTTTTATGGTTCAAATTTCGCTCAAAAATTCATTAACTGTCAAAATTTTACGGGTAAAGTGCAAGAAATTCCTTTAAACTATATTTGAATTTGCAAATAATTCATTTGAAGTATATTTTGTGCTTAATACTCCCTGAACTATTACATTTTGTAACAAAATGGCCCAATGTCTAGACTATTTTTTATTAAGTAACCATAATGTCCCTTCTTATTAAATTACACTTCATTTATTTTTTCTTATTGAAATAAAATATGAAAAAATTCATACTATATTGGCATATACTCCATTAAATTTGCATAAATTTACCTTTAATTTTTTTAATTAATTGTTTAAATAAAAATCTTAAGTAAATTTTTTTATTTATTTAATTTATTAAATTTTCTTGAACATATTGTATTAAAAAGAAGGCATTTTTATGATAAAAAAGTTTAAACTTAATATAATAAGTTTTATTATAAAGAGTATTTTTTTAATAATAAATTAATCATATTAGAAAATGGTAATTAAAAGTCTATTTATTTTTTTTCCCATTTTTATGATAAATTGGTACTAATAATAAAATCAAGGTAAATGGTATAATTAATATTTAGATAAGAGAAAAGATAATAAAAATAATTTAATGAGAAATGAAAATTTTAATGAGAAAGGATAAAATAGTCTTTTGTGATAGGTTTGTCCTTAATTGCAACAAATCAGCAATTCAAGGGGCCAACAATTTAGATGAGTTATTTGTAAAAGTGTAATAGTTCAAGGGTTTTTTGCACTTTATCCAAATTTTACACTTTAAATTATATTATTAATTTTGATCAACTCATATATTGTTAATGAATTTTTGAATGAAATTTTAATTATTTAATTCTCGTTTAGTCATTTTTTAAGTAGGTGCGTTTGTATCTCAATATTTGTATATAATCATGGCAAAAAAAAATTCTGTCAACTCATAAAAAAAATTTCACCTCAAGACTTCATAATAACATTACTCTTTTAACAATAATTTAAAATTTCATTGCCTCACGCGGCTAGACTCCAAAAAAAATCTCTAGCGGCCTAGCGCACTTGGACTTTGGTACCACTAGTTTCATAATGGGGACTTCTCTATGGTCTGTACTCTGTATACAACTTGAGTTGACTTTCAACTTAATTAATGGAAATCATTGATTGAGGGAATGGCCAATCCGGATGCGAAGGTGTGTGAACTTTGACCTCTTCTATTTTTCAGTTTACAGCTGTTTCTAGAGGCCATTCTTCATTATTGGAGACTGCACACAATGCCTCTATAATTCGAATTTGTGCCAGCAGGCTAATGTAGTGACCGCTTCTCGGTTGATGCAATATATATATATTTTAGACATTTAGACGCGGCTATAGTTTTTCTTTGTTGTAGCATATATTTAGAAGAATATGAATCTATTGTTTTCAAGAGATAATACAAAGTATATACAGTATATAATTATAAATTAAACAGTGGCAAAATTAATTATCATGCCACTGTTTAATTGATAATTCCATGTTTTATATGATTATTAATGATACAAGAACACTTACATGATAATTTAAAATATATTTAGAAGCAATATTAATAACGTTTCTTGTATTATTCTCGTAAAATCATTGAAGATATATATCAAGCTGGAGATGTTGTTCTTGATATATCTACACAATCTTACAACATTTTACTTAGCAAAATATATATATGTATATATATAAATCTAACTCATGACAAAGAGTCAACAGGTCAAGGATAAGAGGCCTTCACACAATGATCTTTTCTTTTGACATTGTTGTGGAGCTAGCTGGTTGTTGATAATACCGGATACTGGAAACAATTAATAATGTAATCCAATTATGTAATCCCCCATATGACTTTTTTGTTGGTCAGAATAGATTATCCTTTTGACTCCAATACGATTGCGAACTGTTCTTGATATCTTTTGACAGCATATACAAAGAAGACTCAGATGATGTGAATTCACGTTGCACTGTCCATACCTGACATTTTTCTTGCTAGTCAGATATGCTCGTTCTATATAATACAGCTTCGGTCAAGCAATTAATGTGCATGAATATTTCGTACTGGTGCATTAATATTAATTGTGCAGTGTGTATATATATGTGTGTGTGATCAGCTGTTAGTACAATGTATAATGCCCTCTTCTCTCTCTCTCAATCTTGATGATGATATTGCAAAGCTTTCACATGACCTCTCTATTCATATTACTGCTGCAAGTACTGCTGCTACTGCAGTCTTGCATGGTAAGTTTGGCCTTCCTTTCCTCAAACTACACTGATCAAATTGCTCTCCTTGCCTTCAAGTCCGCAATCAAGTCTGACCCCAAAAATGTGTTGGGGAGTAATTGGACTGAAAAGGCCAATTTCTGCGAATGGGTTGGGGTCTCATGTAGCCAGCGTAGGCAAAGAGTAACAGCTTTGAACCTTGGCGGGTCACAACTCGATGGCACCATTTCTCCTCATATTGGTAACCTTTCCTTCCTCACAGAACTGCAACTTAGTTATAACCATTTGCATGGTCATGTTGTTCATGAGCTGAGTCAATTACGTCGCTTGACTATACTCATATTAGATTTTAACAACTTACAAGGGTTGATCCCTGCAAGTTTACACCTTTGTGAACAGCTTCGGGTCATTTCTATGGTAGACAATGATTTAACTGGTGGCATTCCCAGAGAATTGAGCACCTTGACCAAGCTCCATACGCTTTTTCTCGGAGGTAACAACCTCACAGGTACAATTCCTTCTTTCTTGGGTAACATGTCAGCATTATTAGCGCTTGATATGGGACTAAACAAATTTTATGGTAGTATTCCTCATGAGATAGGAAATCTTCCCATTCTGGAATTCCTTAATTTGGGTGAGAACTATCTCACTGGATCCATACCTCCCTCCATTTTCAACATCTCATCTTTAGCACAACTTTCTCTACTTCAAAATAGTCTTTCTGGAAATCTTCCGTCCAATACTGGGCGTTGGCTTCCTAGTCTTCAAACACTCTTTCTCGCAGTTAGTGAACTCGGTGGAAACATCCCTTTGCATCTGTCCAATTCTTCTCAGCTCGACATCTTAGATCTTGGTTTAAACAAATTCACAGGAACAGTGCCCACAAGTCTAGGCCACTTAGAAGTACTCACTAGACTTAATCTGCAGCAAAATCAGCTAACTTTAGAACTGTCCACAAGTCAAGAACTTAGTTTTCTCACTTCTTTGACAAGCTTGAGATACTTGGAGCAGTTGTACATAAATGAGAATTTATTTCATGGCATCTTACCAGATTCTATTGGAAATTTTTCAAGTTCCCTCCAGATTTTTTCTGCATTTAATTGCCAGATAATAGGTCCAATTCCTGAGAGAATTGGTTCTCTTAGAACCTTGACTTTACTTGATTTGGAAGACAACAATTTAAATGGAACCATACCATCCACTATTGAGGGTTTGAAAGGGTTGCAGAGGCTGTATCTTGATGGTAACAAGATTGAAGGATCCATTCCAAATGGGATTTGTAGTTTGGGCAACTTGGGAGAGATTTATCTCGAAAACAATAAGTTCTCTGGATCAATCCCTGGTTGCATTGGAGATGTTACTAGGCTGCAGAGATTGATATTAGGTTCTAATGCACTAAACTCCTCGATACCAATCAGTTTATGGAGCCTCAACAACCTCTTGTTCTTGAATTTATCGTTCAATTCTTTGAGTGGAAGCCTAGGTCCAAACATGAGAGCACCGAAATCCCTTGAAAGCATAGATTTATCTTCCAACCAAATCTCTGGTATTATTCCAAGCAGTTTGGGAACCTTTCAAAGCCTAACTTCTCTCAACTTGTCAAGAAATTTATTTTGGGGATCCATACCTGAATCGTTTGGCAACTTGATAACGTTGGATTCCTCGGACCTCTCCGTCAACAATCTATCTGGTCCGATACCCAAATCTCTGGAGGCACTTTCTCATCTCAAATTCTTGAATTTATCTTACAATAAGCTGTCTGGTGAAATTCCAAGTGGAGGGCCTATTGCAAACTTTACAGTGCAATCTTTTATGAAAAATAAAGCGCTTTGTGTGAAAAGTGTTTTAAAGGGCATCCCACAGTGCAAAACTTCAAAAGCTAAGCATTTTCCTTTCAAATACATTTTTCCGGCCATTGTTGCATCAGTGGCAATCCTTATTGCTCTGTTGTATATGATGCTGAAAACATCATAGAAAAAATGCACAAACTCAGAATTCTGTTATAGATGCAACAGAACATAGATTGATTTCATATCATGAGCTTTGTTGTGCTACAAATGACTTTTGTGAAGCTAGCTTGATTGGAATAGGAGGTTTTGGCTCAGTATACAAAGGAACACTTTCTGACGGAACAAACATTGCTGTAAAAATTTTAAATTTACAACTTGAGGGAGCTTTTAGAAGTTTTGAAGCAGAATGCAGTGTGTTGCGAACAGTTAGACATAGGAATCTTGTGAAGGTCATAAGTACATGTTCCAACCCTGAGTTAAGAGCATTGGTGCTGGAATACATGCCTAATGGAAGCCTTGAGAAGTGGTTGTATTCTCACAATTACTGCTTAAATCTCCTTCAAAGAGTTAGCATCATGCATGATGTTGCATTGGCTTTGGAATATCTTCATCAGAGTCAATCAGTGCCAGTTGTTCATTGTGATTTGAAACCTAGTAATGTCCTTTTAGACGAAGACATGGTCGCGCATGTGGGTGATTTTGGCATTGCAAAGTTTTTAATGGAAAACAAGATTGAAACACAAACCAAGACTTTAGGTACAATTGGCTACATTGCGCCAGGTATATTTTTTTCTGCCCCACCTATTCTATTATTCAATATCTATTAATAAATTCTTTTGATGCTGACATTAAGAAATCATTTATAATAATAGTTACTTAGGCCATTGCTATCCATTGATTTTCCTTTTCTAGCTATTTTATCCGTACCATGCTTCTTACACAATGATAATGTTTCGCAGAGTATGGTTCTGAAGGTAGAGTGTCTACTAAAGGTGATATATACAGCTATGGAATAATGTTGTTGGAGACATTCATAAGAAAGAAACCAACAAATGAAATGTTTACTGGCGAGTTAAGTCTAAGAGAATGGGTGAAAGCTTCACTTTCTTCCAATATAATGGAAATCGTGGATGGCAATTTATTGACGGCAGGAGATCAAGAAATAATTGCGTTAGAGGGTATTTTTACTGTCATCATGAAATTAGGCTTGGAGTGTTGCAAAGAATTGCCGGAAGAGAGAAGTGACACAAAAGAATTGGCGAATAAGCTGAACAAAATTAAACTGCAACTGCTTAGCAACCCATGTCACTGATGTGTGCTCTGTTTTCGTCTTTTAATTTGCACGACTATGTCCTAATTAAGACGCAAGTGCTGGTGTTTGTTGTTTTGATTCTCCAGACTGGTGTTGTGTGTGGACGGATAGTCATGATGATGTTTTGTTTTAGTTGTTTTTCTTTTATCTTTGCCTGGGACCTACATGCTCTCGGTGTTCTTCTTAGCAAGCATATCATGAAGAAAAGTTGATATTAAATCGTGCATTTTTTGATGGATGATTGTAAAGTCAAATGGGCATATATTGGTCAAAATATGTACTGAGGACCAAGCCTTCATAGCAAACAAACTGTGAAGCCCAAAAACAGACAGTATAAAGCACCAACCCTCAAACCAAAAAGGACCAAGCCTGTTCAGTTAACAAAATAATAGGAGCAAAGCCCAAAGAATCGTGCTATTCAGGCACAATTCTTCGACCGTAGTGTTGGGCCTGGGTGGTCTGGACAAAAATTAAAGGGTAAGTGTCACAAGTGTGTGAGTGATGACTGTTTCTTCTTTTATATCTTCAGAATTTATTTATGTAAAAACTGTGACAGTGTAATAAGAGAAGAGCCCATGGGCTAGTTACAAGGCCTGACTCCTGAGAGAAAGGGAAACATACTAACATGGTACCAAAATAGCTAAATATAAAAGAAGCGCAAATAAGACCACCTGCTGCATAAACCAACAACGTGAGTGACACATCAGTTATTCGATGTTTTAGTACGAGTCAATGTCCGACCCTACCGCCAGTGATGCGTTCTGGTAACATAACATATGGACCGTCGGATCAGAATAAAATAATATATGTATAGGACCGTGCAACATAAAGGGACGCACGTAGGAGTGGCGCTTGTTAGCGGTTAAAACGCTCGAAACCGATATTCCCGCGAAACACAAACGCTGTTTCCTTTGTTTGCCCCAATATTCGACAGGAGAGGAGAGAGAAAGAAGAGAGAGAATTTGACATCACGCAGCTCATTTTTCTTCTTCTTCTTCTTCTTCTTCTTCTTCTTCCTCCCTCCCTCCATTCTTCTCTCTCATACCCCAATTTGTTTCTCTTACGGATTGTGATTTTTGTGGTCTCGTCACATTGATAGGATTGCAGGTGTTTGGTATGTAGTGCATTCATTAAATCAATTTTAATCTTATTCACATTTCTTAGTATCTTGTATGTCACATGTTTTACTATCCAAATAGTATATAAATTTTGGGTATTTTTTCTTTATTGAATCCATTTATGCTTTGGATTCTCCCACAATTTTACTTCTGCAAATCCTTGTAAGTTATTTTCCCTAGTATTTTGAAGCTTGTGATCTTCGTTTTTGCCCTTCAAATCATGTTAATCTCAACTGTGACAATGAATTAGACCAAATTGATCCCTTGACATCATTAACGCACAAATTTATCAAATCTGATTTCTCTCTATAATATATATTATATATCAATAACCTATCACAACCCCCGAAATGCTAGAATTCCAAGTTCTTTTTATTTTCTTCAGCATTCTGAGCTTCCAAACAGATTTATTTTCTTATAATTTCATTAACGAGATGGAGTAGGGAATAAGGGTGTGTGAAAGTATAATTAAAGTTTTTTGGCCCGGCAAACAGATTTAATTTCATAATCACACTGAAAGTCAATGTATGTGTTAATAATGGTTTTTTTTTGTTTTTTTTTTTTTTTTTTTTTTTTGATTCTATCATATGGTTTTGACAAGTCGCATTGCAGTAACTGCAGGAATCTGCTTGGATATAACACATCAGTTGTGAATTTACCGTATATGAGTTGTTGAATATTGCTACGCTCGGTAGTTGAATTATGTTCTGCTGTGGAGGCAAGGAAGAGGAATCGAAAGGCCCATCTGTGAACCAATATACTGCCCCACCTAAAGGGGCGAATACTTATGGCCGTGGTAATATGCTCGCTTACTGCTCTTTATGCTGTTAATTAACTTAATTTCATGTTGGTTATCACATGTCTTTTGCACCATTGTTTAATAAGTGCAGTTTTAGTGATTAATTATGGGCTAAGCAATGGCTGTGTATTCTATGAATATTGTTAACCATATTGCGTTGCCTGCACAATTGTTCCTCCGGGATTCGAACATTGACTGCTGTGTTTCAGGCTAAAGTTTGAATTTTGGGGAAAAAACTTCATTACAAGGGTTATGCCATGTCATTTCGCCTAACAAGATACAAATTATAATTGTTTACCTTCTTGGGATTTTTATTCTTCTTTATTTCTTAACTTCCATCATTACTTATTTTTTTACTTCGACGCATAAATGTTTATCTTGGTATCTAGAATTATGTGTCCGGTAACCATGCTCGTATGATTCAGAACCATAAATATTTGACTGTGGAATAGAGACCTCTGAAGTATTCATTCCATAGAAGTATTTTAATATCTATTAGACAGTTATATGTAAGTGTATAATACAGGAGAAGACCATTTCAGTACTCTGTTTAGTATCAATATCTAGTTAAAGACTTTGTTTTCATATGTGCATTTTCCAATTTTTATTCTTCCTGCCTTTTAATGCAAGTGGCATATATGGAATTGAATTTAAAGTTTGTTCATGCGGAATGGAAACATAGGATTCATGTAGCCGACCCCAAATGATAATTGAAAAAATGGCTTGGTTGTTGTTGAATTTATAGTTTGTTCATGCTTGTGTTGAAATTTGCCTTATTCATGTTTTAGGCAATGAAAGAGGAGAGCCAAGGAGTTCTAATGCTGTAAGAAGTGGGGCTCCTCTAAAAGCTTTATCTATTGAAACTCCAGCTTTGTCACTGGAAGAATTACGTAGGTTGACCAGTAACTTTGGTGCAAAAGCTTTAATTGGAGAAGGTTCTTATGGCCGGGTTTTTTATGCAACGTTAAGCAATGGTAAGCCAGCAGCAATAAAGAAGTTGGATTCCAGTTCTTCACCTGAGCCAGACTCCGATTTTGCGTCTCAGGTGAATATTTTGGGCATTAGTTTTGTGAAAGCCAATGTGGTCAGGCTTCATATACTCTTTTTATCTAATTTGTATGACTATTTATTTATATTGCAGTTATCAGCAGTGTCAAGATTGAAACATGATCATTTTGTGGAGTTGATTGGGTACTGCTTGGAGGGAGATAATCGAATTTTGGCGTATGAGTATGCATCAAAGGGTTCTTTACACGACATCTTACATGGTACATATATGGTACATATACACACACACACACACACAGTGTGACCAAATTTCCAAATTTCTGGACAACCAATTCATTTTTATTTATTCCCTGGTGTAGGGAGGAAAGGTGTAGAAGGTGCTGAGCCTGGTCCAGTTCTTAGTTGGAATCAGAGAGTTAAAATTGCTTTTGGTGCTGCGAAAGGCCTTGAATATCTACATGAAAAGTGCTCGCCTTCTATTGTACATCGTGACATCAGATCCAGCAATATCCTACTGTTTGATGATTTTTTGTCTAAAATAGCTGATTTCAACTTGACAAATCAATCTTCTGACACGGCAGCTCGACTGCATTCAACCAGAGTCCTGGGAACATTTGGCTACCATGCACCCGAGTAAGCCTTTTTACTCTTCATTAATCAAACACCACATTAAATTCCTTGAGTTTGTAACTTAAATAAAGACTTTCTTATCCAGTTTGGAGACAGGTCTCTGTTTGTTTTGCACACAAACAGAGAACTACCTTTATGTTGTATATGCAGTAGAGATCCCAATTACTGTCTGTTAAGTCTCTTTGAGTGCAAAAATTAAACTTTTTATTGTAGTCTGCACTAACATATCTTGGTTTCTGATTAGATATGCCATGACAGGGCAGATAACTCAGAAGAGCGATGTTTACAGTTTTGGAGTTGTTCTTCTAGAGCTTTTGACAGGGAGGAAACCAGTAGACCACACAATGCCCAAAGGACAACAGAGTCTTGTTACTTGGGTGTGTTTTCAGTCTCAATTTTTCTTCCTTTGTCACCTCTATTGTATACATACATACATATATATATATATATATATATATATATATCTAACTCGTATTCTCAAATTCTGCAGGCAACTCCAAGATTGAGTGAGGACAAAGTGAAACAATGCGTTGATCCCAAGCTAAACAATGACTATCCACCGAAAGCTATTGCTAAGGTTCGATTATTTAGTTCTAATAACTTCCCAATACACATTTCTATAAAGGTGACTTGGGCAGAAAAGGGTTGTGAATGTATCTGCATCTTCACAATTGTGTTTATTTGTAAATTTTCAGTTGGCAGCAGTTGCAGCACTGTGTGTTCAGTATGAAGCAGACTTCCGGCCGAATATGACCATTGTGGTGAAGGCTCTCCAGCCACTTCTCACCTCAAAACCAGCAGGCCCAGACCCTCATGGATCATAGTGTACCAGCTCAAATATATTCTAGCAGGATCGATCAGACTCGTGTAACACTAAAATCTTTATTTTACTCTCTGAAATTCTTGTTTGAATATTTCCAAGGCATTGTTAACTTATTTTTCCAGGATTACGGTTTTTTTTTTTTTTTTTTATCCGTTTCATTACTCCCTGGAATAACTCTTTTGCTATTTCTTGGTAGAAGACATTGAATTTTTGTTCTGTACTTAGAATTCTTGGATTCATTATCACAAAATCTTCCTTAGAAGAAAAACAAAACCATATATGCAAACCTCTGTTTAACTGGTAAGTACACTTCCAATCAAGAAACAATTGATCACAAAACATACCTTCACAAATCTTGAACTATCTGACATTTATTATTATTATTATTATTATTTTGGGGTCAATTATACCTTTATCTTTTGTTTTTTTTACTGTATTTTCTTGTGAGTAGACAAATATTGTTCTTTTCTAATCATCTTAATTGATGGTACATATGCTAGTAAGTGTAATAGTACATAAAGACATGCATAAGAAATGGGAACATATATACAAATAATGAATTTGGTTCCCTCCATTTGTGACTAAAGTCACTATGCCTATTAATTGTTAAGTAATCTTTTTAGGTAAGAAAAATTGGTAAAACCCTCTGGTACAATAAGCTGCAAGGCAAGGTAAATTTCGAATGCGTGCAAGGTAAAACCCAAATTCTCCTTCAAAGAATAAAGTAACAGTGTGCGTTATTTTAAGAAATTGAAGATTATGAATACAAGTGAGTGCTTTTCGAGGATTGGATTTTATAAGGAAACTTGAAAAAAATAAAAATAATAATAATAAGACCATATTTCTTCCGGACGATTTTGACTAATTTAAACAGATTGATTTCATTATTAAAACCGATTAAATCAGTATTGGCTAGGTTTATCGTTAAACTTTGATTGTTGCTCGTTTAAATTTTGGCTAGGGATGGCAAATTCCCCATTCCCACCGGGGCCCGTCCCGCCCCGCCCCATTTATAGCGGGAATAGGGATCCTTTTAGCTAAACGGGGATGGAGATGGGGGCAATTTATCAATACCCGCCGCGGCTGGGGGCGGGAGCGGGGGATGGGGTAAACCCGCCCCAGGTGTGAAATTACTAATATACCCTTATATATAATAATTTATTACTAAATTAGATTTATTATATATATGAAAATAAGAAAAAATATATATATATATATGTTTTTTTAAATAAAAAAAAAATTATGAGGCCGGGGGCGGGGACGGGGATAAGGTGTCGGGGGTGGGTATGGGGATTCTGGCAAAATTTTAAGTGAGGATAAGAGCGGGGATGAGAAATGAAAAATGTATCGGGGATGGGAATGGGGAATAAAATCCCCGCCCCGTTGCCATCCCTAATTTTGGCATTCCTCTCGTTTTAGCCTATTTATTGCTTTTGTTTTACTGATAGGCTTCTTTGGGCTGCTGGGCCTTTTGCCCCCTGGGCTTCGGGGATATAAGGGCCCTTTGATGCTGTACAATTATTATTATATTTTTTTATAATTATAAAATCTCTAATTACCGAAGAAATTTTTTTTCATTTAGTCACATGGCCCCCACTTCCTTACAATATTACATCTGCAACGTAGAAAATTCCATTAATTAAATTCATTGTGGGTCGTTTGTAAACCCCAGTAGCTTTTAAACAAATAAATTAAATTAAATGATATAATTACCTTAAAAAGAACATTAATATCCCACAATTATTGGAAAATCTTAAAAATTAACTGTCAAATGTAACTTAATTAGGTGGGTACTTATAGGCCTTGGCTCTGTAAATCCAAATTAAGGAACAAGTGGTCCCTTTTGTGCTTCAAACGTCTAGCCAAAAATAATATAGACCATATATGTCTTAAATGTGATACTCTGTATTTCTGAGCCATAATATTTGTCACTATGAGTAGGATTCTCCTCTACTTTGAATTTAAAATATAAAAGAGAAAAAATAATTTTTAATATAAATTTTAAATTCAAAATAAAAATGTATCATTTCATAATTGTGCCACATAAAAGAAAATTCAATTTAACTATATTCTTTAAGAGGCATTTAGTGTATAAATACCACCCTAGCAAGGGTCATTAGAATCCATATTTTCATTGACAAAACAAATACTATGGCTAAGTTTTCTTACCTTCACCTCTTACTCGTTGTCCTTGTCTTTTCAGGTTTGTTCGTTTGTCCTATATTATATTTTCTCCGTCTCACATTAGTTGTCTATTTCGAAAACTTTGACTCACCATCACCTTTTTTATTTTTGAGGTCATTTTTAGTTATATTCCTACTTTGACTCACCATCACCTTTTTTTATTTTTGAGGTCATTTTTAGTTATATTCCTTTTATATATACTTATACACTATCTATATCCCATATTAGATATCTACTTCGGTAATTTGACTCACAAAAATTGTGAGTCAAAATTTTTGAAGTGGACAGACAACTAATATGTGATGGATCTACCCATATAGATTGACTCTATAGTATATAATGTAGCGGGTTAGTTGCATAAAGTTTCCCTTGACTTGTAGCATTTTATAATAAATTTCTCTTAAATTTTTTTTTAAAAAAATTATTTTTTTATTTACTTTCATTAAATATGTATTACAATTATGAAAATAGTCTATAAAATCTGCCTCGTTCCTGTCTCGTCTCACCCCGCCCCATCCCGTTTAATAAACAGTTTTGGAACAGAAACGGGATAGACATTTTAAATGGAGTTAGGGATGGGCATAGCACTCCCGGCCCATTGCCATCCTAAATTAGGGTTGCATGTATAATTAATTAATTTGGATATGTTTTTCCAATTGTGTCTGCGAAGTAATTCATGCCCCATGTATTACTCGGTGCTGAACAAACACAATGTGTAATATGTTGAAGTTATATATATATATATATATATATATATATAAGATTGATTAATTTGGACATGTTTTTCCAATTGCAGGAATGCTCTATGATGTGGTTGGTCAAAAAAGATGTCCAGACTTGTTGTACCCCTAGGGTTGTACACTTGCTGATTGTCGTGAGAAGTGCTCTAAAAAGTACAAACAGGAACTGATGCCATTTGGAGTTTGCGTTTACAATAATAGTGGAGCTACTTACGAATGCCAGTGCATCCACAACTGCTAAGATATCCAGTTTGACCGCCACCTACTTCATGATTAGCTCTTAATTTCTCTTTTGCCATCGAAAATAAAACTTGATCGATCCTACGTGAACCTCATGATCATGCTAATTAATTAATAACGGTCATTTTGTGCTTCATAATGTTGAATTGTTCTTCCGTCATCCTTTTTCTTCTTTTTTTATTTTTATTTTTATTTTTTTTAGAGTATAATAATATATTGATTTGAAAGATGGGTTAGGTTGTCCAAAGTCAGATAACCATGCATGCTCGTTTATTGTCAGGTTTAATCGAAATTCAAATGCATGATATAACGGATCGAAGCAAGAGGATTAGCCGTAATACATAAGTTAATATATTATTTTCCTCTAATGTCCTAATCAATTTATAAATATATTCCTTTCCTCTAAGGACAATCAACTCCCAAAGAAAGCAGGTGCATGTGGGTTGTCCTATAGGCGCAAATCGGGAATCACCTCTTTTGATCGCCCATTTTTGAGATGGAAAGTGAGTTTAGAGATGGATGAGATATGTGTCATGGTCGTTTTTTCGTGGAAAGCTTCATCCATTGGATTTGATGGATGTGTTTCCAGTGCACCATGTCACTCTTTTCAACGAGTACATTTAAAAGTATTTCGCGTATATGTCTAACATTGAGAAGTAACAGGAAGGCATCTGATTCCGTTAAACTTGGTTATATCCTACAAGTTGGATATTTGGGAGGTAGGCTGGTTGGATTGCCACTCTTGTCCCCAGATCCATGTGGATCTTGTCAATCTTTCTAATGTACATTTAAAGGTCTTCAGCGTAGATATTTAATCCTGAGAAATAGTAGAGAGGCATCCGATTTCGTTATACTTGGTGCTTAACTTATAAGTAGTGTAAGCCAGCTACAAACTAAAGAATAAAAAATAAAGCAAACAATTATAAATAAATAAATAATATGTAGAAGCAAATAAGCATATTAATATGAATGACTAAATGAGTAACATGATTATTGATTAATATTTACCAAAATCAATAAAAATGATTAATATGATTATTGTTCACAATATAGGGGATATACATGTAGATGTTGCATGTATCATATACCTTGACTTGACTAATTTGACATCGTTTGGTTTTTAAAGTACATAACACATTATTACAATAAATAAAAAGCATTGGCATGGAATGCATTAATGTATGCGTGATCGGTTCGTGTTTATGCAAACACAAGAGAATGTGCTCATAAGTAACGAACAAGCATGGATCTGTGAAAGGCTTAGTGGGAGCATCGGCCCCCATTGAAATTTTTTATTTTTTCATTTTACATCCCTAAATTTATACTTTTTAATAATTTTTTATTTTTTCATTTTACATCCCTAAATTTATACTTTTTTACATTTATACCCATAAAATTTTGAAATTGCCCCCACTAAAATTAAAAATAAAAAAAAAATAATAATAATAATAATAATAATAACCTCTATATAAATCCCCCACCCCCTTCATACAAATTCCTAGATCCATCCCTAGCGGCAAATAACAATTTCATCTATATCATGGATTTTAACAATAGTAAATAAGTTAGTTGAGGAGGTTATTTGTATCAATGTATTAACATTGTTAGGCTAATATATCAAACATAGCTTCAGTTGGTAAGGCTGATGCCACCATATATAGGTTCAATTTAAGTTTACCATCGATCTGTTAGTGCAATCCATCTTACTAGCTGTATGTTCAAACCTACCATTTCTAATTCCAATACTACCCACAGTGTCCCAACTATATATTACTCAATGCATTCTTAAACTCAAGCCACTGTTTTGCTGCAAGCTGCACCTGAACTCTTTCCTTAATAAAATTTAGAACAATGCTTGCCTCTTACCCTATCAAAAAATAGTGGCTCAATGAAAATATGACACGTGTCTTTAAAAAGTTGTATAATATTAAAAATAAAACTCAATTGACAAAACTCTACCATACTCCATAATCCATTTTAGCCGAATAGAACCCAATTGACAAAACTTTACCATACTCCATAACCCTACTCCCTCACCACTGCCACCATCCCTTTTCCATCCTTCTCCCCACCACCTCTCCTTCTCTCTCCCTTACCACTTCCTCTCTTCAATTTTTACTTTATCTATTTTTTTTATATA